TGCGGATAGCCTAATATATGACATATAACATTGGGAACAAAATTTGACAATAGGAACAAAAATTTCTTTCTCACTTGTCATTTTTGATGCAGTAATTTTGTTGGTTTGCCCACCTTCAGGAAACAAGCACTGGTATAGAATCAGCAATCAAATGATGCGATGTAATTTTAATTATTTAGTTATGTATTGCATTTGTAAACATGTTCACGTCAACCCTATGAATGTAACAGTTGATATAGTTCATCGTCATTACTGTCATTCCAATTGAAGCCGGTATTGTTCAAATATTGATTCAATACATTACCTCGGGCTGACCAATTCATTTGATCAAGTTCCTAGAAATATTCATGTGAAAGAGCCGATTCCAAGTATTTGATCATTTCTGGTCACCGCCTTTCTATTTATGATTGGTTAGTTGCACAAACAACAAAGGTGATTGGTGCATTCAAACTTCAACAGGAAGTTTACAATTATACTAGGAAGTGTATCATGAGTATGAATATCTCGAGGAACTTGATGAAATGAATTGGTCAGCCCGAGGTAATGTATTGAATTGAATCAATATTTGAGCAACACTTCAATTGGAACGACAGTAAATAAGTATACCATTTATGACGAATGATGAGAACATTCATATTCTTCAACAATTTAAAATAGCTAAAATAATGATATCTGGTAAGAAAATTAAACTTAAAGTTTATGTAAATCAGCATGATTTTGTATCCGATATGCAAACTCCTTCACAGTCATGATTTCATTTTTGTTTTCTTCATGAATTATTAAGTGTTTCTGAAATTATAAGTATACATACTATATACTCGGCCCATCACATAGACTATACCGAAGAACTTACAAGTTATGATATACTACTTTTCGGGGGTAATAGACCTTTCTCCTTTTGAGTGAAATTTTGATCTATAGACAAGTCTGGACAAGTTGTTGCGACGTCAATGTTATAGCAGTCAAGTCAATGTTATAGTAAAGTCAATGTTATAGCAGACATCACATTGTTTTTCCTGAACTTAGCTTTTCGGGGTTATTTCAGGGTCTCTTTCATGTATACCATGAGGGAAGGTCTCCTCCATCCACTATTTTGGTCCCTCCAGTGAACTATACCCCCATATGCCCGCATCCGAGAGAAGAATGACTTGTTAAAAAAGCATTTTAGTATTTCCATGACCAAATCTTTGTCTAGTGGATGAACTATATAAAACAATTGTGTCTGAAAATGCTGAAAATCAAGCATTAGAGTAATCCAATAGACCTTTCCCCTTATGAGTGAAATTTTGATCTATAGACAAGTCTGGACAAATATTTCATCACAGCTTGAAAGAGCATCACAAAATTAGTAATATTCCGAAGTTTCGTTGCGAAATGTTGTAAAATGCGTATAATATAGCCTTGCGAAGTTTGCCATTTTTCAGTCATTTGATAATCAGATGATCAAACTGAAGCAAAATGTTAGATTGTAATGCAAAATGACTGAAAAACGACAAACCTCGCAAGGCTATATTATCCGCATTTTACAACATTTCGCAACGAAACTTCGGAATATTACTAATTTTGTGATGCTCTTTCAAGCTGTGATGAAATTGTTGCCCTGCAGGCATATCTAAATCAAAATTTCACTCATAAGGGAAAGGTCTATTGAATCTCATCCTCTAACTAAACAAAATATGACATTCGTCGAGTATAGGTCGAGCTTGTCGAAATTTTTGTTTTGCCTGCCTCCGCTAAATATTTAAGTCACGGCTTTTTGGGTATAGCCATAGGGGCCGATTATTTGCAGTGGTTCAAGTGTCACTTTATGTAGTGAGGAAAGATGAGTCGCATTGCTATATTTTTGTGTCGACGAGAGGATGGATTCCCGTGAATTTCGATGGAAAACATTAAACCATCGCGGATTGACTAGGAAAACCACGACCGTCATGTCATCAGTCATTCTCAGTATTTCTAATTTGTAATATATAATGCTTGTATATATTTTAATTCTGTCTATCTGCCCTTTGGAGATGAGCAATAGATTATAGTGTCAGCGTAGGTAAATAAGTAAATAACTGGGGCGCGTGAAACCATTTTCATTCTTGTGCTTTTACTTATACTTATAGAATAATGAAATTTAATTTAACTTTGGTAAAAAAAAACACTTCAGGTTTCGCGAATGCATTTTATACGGCTTAACTCACGGCGCACGTTTTTTTGCACGCGACATTCTAATCCAAATTCCTTAAATATTTGATTATGCAATCATGAAATAATCAATCATTCAACAAGTTCTTTATCGCTATTTGGTATTCTCTAGGATTGAAAACATTAACACAAGCACTTTGTTTAAAACTTCTATAAGTATCCCATGTCGTCTGACCAAAGAATGTTTGTTTCATTCTCTTAATCTCGAATTTAAAATATCGGCTAAATTTTTTTTAAGTTCGCAATTAGAGAAAAGCGACTATAAGTCTATAAGCTTCTCCAACCTCACGCATTGCACCTTGTAATGCATGCAGACCGCAAAAAAAAAGACCTAGACCGCAAAAAAATTAACTCAAAAACTTTGATTCAAAATATTGAGTAACCACGGCGATTCAAAACATTGATCCAAAATACAAAATTACTCAAAACTTCTGAGCAAATTTTCGAGTATAAAGCAAATATTTTTCGAGTAAATTTAAAACTTTTCTTAGAAAGTTGTCAATTTGCTCATTAGGTTTAGTCATGTGGGTTGCATTATAATTGAATTTGTTAAATTATAAGTACATTTGTTCAAAATTTTCAAGAGTCACTTGTGCATGATGCATTATTTTATTCAAGCCAGGGCTGAATTTCACTAACCAAGCTGAAATTGTTTCACGATTACATGCAAAGTTCAGCCCATCCTGAGTTAAAATTTCATTTCAAACCTGCATGAAAGGGCTATTCTGTTTCGAATAATTTAAAAGCACAAAGCCTTTGTTTACATTTTTGTGTCCAAAATATTGAGCTTTATTCGACAACTATTTATATTTTCAAGCTTCTAGAGTATAATAAATGATCAAGAAACAACAATCAGGCTTTTCAAGAACTCAAAACATAGTTAAACTCTTTGTATCGTAAAAAGTGGGCTCATTTGTGCACATGCGCAGATCGGACTGTAGATCACCTTTCAAACGTCTATTATTTGACTTCTGCAAAACTGTGGTTGCATTTAAAAGTAGAGGCAGACAAGCCACTTAGGGGGTTGTTTACATGCGCCCTACTTATATACTGTCTGTGGTAGGGCTAGCACTTCGTGGGATTGTTTATACATGAGAAAAATCAGCCCTCTTGCTATAGGGCCGTAAACAACACTTAAATGCCTTCCTTCAACTCATTTATTTTATTATGAAGTTGAAAATCGTATTCTGCCAAGAAAATTTTCGAACAGAAAAATTATCAGAAAATTGGAATTCAGTTCCAGAGCTATAAATGTATTTGAATCGTAGATAAAGATAGAAAAGATGAGAAATCGTGCCTGCGAAATATAGGTTTTTCGCTTTCGCATGCAGTGAGCAGAATTGACTTCTATGTACTCACTGACACTGCATGGCGGAGTGAAATTTTGCGCATGCGATAATTCATTTTGCGCGCGAAATCTTTCGAATTTCACCAGAATTTAGCAAGTTTCAACTTGCTTCTACATGCAACTAGCCTGCATGATATAATTTCATCTGCAGTATAGTTAGTTGCATAATTTTAAATTTATATCCTTGGTTTGGTTTTGTAATTTTAACTTTTACACGCCCACCCTTGGAAAACAATTTACATTAAAGGGGTTATCATAAAGTTTTAAATAAAGTAAATATAGAGATCCTACAGGAAATAGAAATAGAGATCTCTGCAGGTGCATGTAACTCATGCAGACACCCCCTTAGACATTTGTTTTTCCAAGCCGGCCAGAAATTTCCTGTTGAATCACATTCCGGGCCATGCAGTAAAGATTTTCATTAATGAATGGACCATTTGGCTTATAGACTAAATTTTGATCTAGACAAAAATTTCATCACAGCTTGAAAGAGCATCACAAAATTAGTAATATTCCAAAGTTTCGTTGCGAAATGTTGTAAAATGCGGATAATATAGCCTTGCGAAATTTGCAAGTTTCAGTAATTTTGTATTACAACCGGGAAATTGATGCCCCAACACCCGATTGGGCTGTCAATTCCCGTGCGTAATACAAAATGACTGAAAAACGGCAAATTTCGCAAGGCTATATTCGCATTTTACAACATTTCGCAACGAAACTTTGGAATATTACTAATTTTGTAATGCTCTTTCAAGCTGTGATGAAATTTTTTTCTAGATCAAAATTTAGTCTATAATGCAAATGATCCATTCGACACGTGGAAGATTCGTGGTTTAAAACAGGCCTAATTTACAATGGTCATGAGTATATATTGTCGTGCAGTCTCTGCAGTCAAGTAATACATATTTTTGCGCAATTTATTCACACGTCACATGTTTTGTTTTCCTGCTATGATCAACCACAAAAGGGTTGCACAAATATTTTTGACATTTTGTGCATAAACTGCGTATTTGCAGGCCTAATCTTCTTAAGTCATTTATAATAGAAAAAAACTCGTTATTGACAGAATTGATGCCCAATTTCTTGATCGCGTTAAATCACACCCGGTTTTATACCGGCGTTTTTTTTATTAGCCAACTTAATTCGACGAATTTATAGCTACATGAGAGGCGGGCATCTTAATCATTTTTCTATATTAACCCATAAATCATAAAAGACATGGAGTTTAAAAGGCATTACTTTCTATAACACATTCAAAAAACAAATTAAAGAATATAATTTTTTAATGAAACTATAATTATTGAAATCTTGTATATGACGGAACTTTCTCTAAGCCGCATTTTAATAATTCTGTGTTTGAATAATTAGACCATATAAGCTTAGTACAAAAAGTACAAAAAGATTATTTTAATAACTATACGTTTCGGAGTATAACTCCATCTTCAGGTTAAAAGTAACTGAAAGATATGAAACTTTAAAAACAATTACAAATTTAGACAAAATTAGTCTAAATTTGTAATTGTTTTTAAAGTTTCATATCTTTAGTTACTTTTAACTTAAAGATGGAGTTATACTCCGAAACGTAGTTATTAAAATAATCTTTTTGTATTAACTACTAGGCCTATAATTATGGTCTAATTATTCAAACACAGAATTACTATAATTATTCACTCATAAGATCAACTATAAACACATAAACAATTTGAAATTATACTATCTTGGAGTGCTTAAGGTTGTCCACGAGCAAAGCGGAAAAGTCGAATACGAGCGCGAAAGGCTGCTGGGAATCGCCAATAAATTCATTCATTTGTTAGCGATTCCCAGCAGACTTTCGCGCTCGTATTCGACTTTTCCGCTTTGCTCGGGGGACAACCTTAATTGAAATAGCTGTATAAGCTTCTCAAATGCATATATAAGACAATGTCTCATCATATTATATCGCTGACATTTTTATCTTGATATTGTATTAAATCTGCACAACTTTCTTCTGGGGCCATGTAGTTGTTCAAAGCTGGGTTAGCTTAACCCTAGTTTAAGATAAAATTCGAAACAAACTTCCTGACAGCCTGTCTATAAATTTGAAAATATTTCTTCAGAGATCTTGTCTGGATCGATATAGGAGTTTACTTCTCTGAAGTTTTGAAATAAACAGACGTGCAGAAATGTACAAACTAAAACATGACAGGTTAAATTTTAACCCAGGGTTACCGCTAACCCATCTTTGAACAACCGGCCCCTCTTCTTTTGTAAATATTATAATATATAATCTAAACCATTTCTTTCCGTCATTTCATTTGACTGTATTACAATGTATATTAAGAAGTCATTTCAATATGCATTGTAGTATACATACTGAACATAACTAGAGGCCTAAATCAAAAGCCTGTTAAGGTTTCTGCATGGTATGGGTCTTTATCCCTATCACTTGTAAATATTATCTTGATTGTTCGGTTATGTAATCCAGAGGGAAAATAATAAATAAATAAAAAGTCATAAAAACCCTGAATAGAAAAATCATGATCAAATTTCGCGTCTAACCTTGTTGAAAGTTATGTGACATCACTAAATCTCAAATTCAAGTTCCTCTAATTACATTATACGGGACCAGTCAGCACATCTTTTTAATGATTTACTTGTAGAAATGAACTCGTCAGATGGGTCGTTTTTGAGCCATTTAAAACATTCGCAGTTCTGTGTTTTAAAAGTACATGCATGAGCTATAATTGAGATGGAAGCCACGGTGAACTGGCTCATATATGAACTGGTTGCCTGCGGCTTTGATTATAGATTGAATGATCGGATTTTCTTTCAAAAAACCCAGACTGATGATACTGCATTATTCTTATCTGTTGTCACAATAAAGTATTGGTAAAGTAAATATAAACAACCTAATCTTTGTGTGGTTTGAGGAAATTAAGGACAAACTTTTTTTTCGATCTGGGTTTAAAAATGCGAAACTTTGTTCAGGACAGATCATTCTCAGTAAACTCTCTCAGAGACACTGCAGTAAATTATAACAAGGCTAAGAGAAAAGTCACAATATTCAATTTTGAAATTAGACTTAATTGCCATTGGTCGATCGCTTTTTCATTGATTTAAAAATTACTTTTCACTAAAATTAAATTATTTTTTACTATACAAAGTTTCACTTAAAAAGACGACGGACTTTCTACTGTGGAGTCTATATATGGCTTTGATCTGGAATTTATATTTAGAAGACTAAATGCTTGTTATTTCGAAGTAACTTTAAAGAATAGAAGACGGATTTTGGCTGTGGCGTGTGGTGTATAATTTTGATTTGGAATAACTGACTGTTGATCAAGAGTATCGCCAGGGTCAAATCAACAAAAAAACACATTTTTCGAGGAGCCGAGATTTTTACCCCAATATTTTTACTTCTGAGAAAGATGGTTGCAAGCAGAAGAGTTTTTGTCACTCTTATTTTGATTCTCTTGATCACGGAACATTTTGTGAAAGAAGGTGATGGTTATATCGGAGGTATACGTCGCGCGCGTGTTACGAGACGAAATAGAAGGAGGAGAAGAAGAAGACGAAGATCGAATTTCGAACACAACCAAAAATACCGTGAAGAAATGTGGTCACAGCAACTTCAGATGAAACTTGACTAAAAGTACACACGAGTGGCCATGCACGAATGACCACGAGTGTGATAAAAAGCTGTTTCGGAACAGATTTCTATAAAAGACGAGAAACGTTTTGTTTTCGTGGTTTTCTCTAGCGGGGATAGCACTCGGCATAAAATATAAACCCTTTCTTTATACGGAATAATTAACTACGAAAGAATAATAATATCACAGTAAGTACTTTTTCTGTGTGTTGGTGTTATGTATACTCAGGTTAATATGATGCTTGTGGTGTTACTCTGACTGTGCATCCACACCGGCCAAGCTGAGAAGTTTGCCTGACCACGGTGGGAATCGAATCCGCGACCTTTGCGATACTATAGTCCAATGCTCTGGTGTGGATGCACACTCAGAGTAACACCACAAGCATACTATCACATAACTCAACTCTTTTTGTTACATCACAATAACAACTCATGCCGGCAAAGGATTTTACATGACGAAATAGAATTTGTTGTTAACATTGTAAAATCACGCGCAACTGGTATGATACAGATGTGTACATTTCACATGTACATTCACTGAGGTGTTATATTGTGACGCGAGAAAATGAGTTGAGTTGCGAAAATATAAATATTTACAAACTAATTGTGATATTATTCTTTCGTAGTTATAGTAATTCCGATCCGTAAGAATGGGTTCATATATATTTTATGCCGAGTGTCATTCCCGCTCGAGAAAACCACGAAAATAAAACGATTTTCGCCTTTTATAATAATCTGTTCCGAAACAGCTTTTTATCACTCGCGGTCATTTGTCGGGTCATTCATGGTCACTCGTGTGTACTCAGTTTTAATCAAGACCCTTCAGATGCGCTTGTACACGTAGATAATTTAGAACCGAAAAGTGTCCTTTTGAAATCAATGCATGGCCTACATAACTTTGAAGCAGAACATTTTCAAAGGCACCAGAGTAACTCCTGCTACCTTAACTACTTATCTATTTACAACACACGTTATTTTATAATAGTTTGTTTGTGGAAACACCACGTAAATTTGTTACTGCAAAGCTTTCGATCCGTAAGCCCGGATCTTCATCAGTGCTAATAATATGATGAAGATCCGGGCTTATGGATCTGATGAAGATCGGGGCTTACGGATCGAAAGCTTTGCAGTAATAAATTTACGTGGTGTTTCCACAAACAAACTATTATATGTTTTATCGGCATGCAAACATACAAAGAACTTAACACGTTATTTTATTGTTACATCAAACTTAGATGTGCAATACACTTCATGTTTGCTCCCGAGGGAAATAGTTAGTTTTGTTTTCCCAAGAATCTCAACATTCAAATTCGAGGGAAACCCGAGGGAACATACATTAAGTGTTTTGTTATAAAGCGACGAATGAAAAGTTAACTAAACGTTCATACGACAATACTGTATTTCATGACAAAAACTCTATAAACGAGTTTAAAATTAAAAGAATTACCTACTTATACGGTTTCAGCAACATATCCTGTTGCCTGTTGTGTATTTTTCTTCTCTTTTACATTCTTTATGTGAACACAAACTTGGAAAATCGTAGTTTATAAACAGGCGAGTTGTGCCGCCATTTTGTTTATTTATGTGCGTAGCCGGTTGGCGCGGACCTCGTGAATTTAATATTAATCCTTTTTAACTGCAGTTAATCAATGTCTTCAAGACTTTCCAAATCCGCGTTCATTGCATTTTCAAAGTCAACAATTGATCTTGCATTAAAGACCGTGTAAAGTCCGTTCTGCGCATGCGTTCTGCGCAGGCCTACATTCCAATGGTCGGGACCCGACCGTTGGAATGTTATTAATATGTCGTACCTTCCGAACTTTCTTGAATTGAATCTCTAGTCTGTATTCATTTACAAGCATATAGCGAACCAGAAGAGTGTTAAGAATTCAGTATAATATATATCTAATCATATTTTACAACTGTAGCTCTGAGTTCAAAATGTAAACAAAGCGTTTGTTTACATTACGGACTTTATACATGGCCTTTAATTCCCACAATCAGGCCTTTACCCGACTAATCCAGTCCAAGCTTGACCTTGAACTAAGTGCACGGAACGGAGACAATCGGATTTGATACATTATCGACTTATCATGTTGAGAGGACCAGGTCAAATTATTTCAATAAATATTTTTAGCCCAAAGAGAAATGTTTTTCTTCGTGAGAATTCTGCTGACCCAACCATTAAAAGGTGAAACGCTAAGCCGTTAACTTTTTGTCCATTTTCAACCTTTTTCTTCATCATTGATAAAGGGGCAAAAAAGAAAAGGCTCACTCCTTGAATTTTCTTCATTTTTAGCCCTTTTTTTATTATTGCAAAAACGGACAAAAAGTGGCAAAAAAGTAAAGGCTAATCGCTTAACTTCTTGTCCATTTTTAGCCCCTTTTTTCAATATTGAAAAGGGACAAAAGCCAAAACATGGCAAGAAAGTAAAGACTAATGCCCAGGTCACACTACACAACAATAACGATAACTTGTATACGCGCAAGGTACGACGATACGATAACTTGTACACGCGATTGGTCCGACTGAAAAAAAATCGCTCTGGTCGATTTTAAAATCGTTATCGTTATCGTCAAACGATAATTTTATCATTTTCGTTGTAGTGTGGACACTAACATATTTTTTTTGCCAATTATCGTGTGTTTACAAGTTATCGTATATCGTTATCGTTGTGTGGTACTGTGGTGTGACCGGGCCTTTACCCCTTAACATTTTGTCCATTTTAGCCCCTTTTTTCATTATTGAAAAAGGGGCAAAAAAGTAAAGGTTAACCCCCCTTTTATCACTATTGAAACAGGGGTAAAAAATCACAAAAAAGTACAGGCGTTAAGCCGTTAACCTCTTAAATTTTTCTTCATTTTAAGCCCCTCCTCTCATTATGGAAAAAGGAGCAAGAAGTGTCACAAAGCACCCTTAGCATTTGGTGAGGGGGCAAACACTTTGGTGAGGGAGCAACACGGGTCAACAATGAAATAATTATTGCACAAATTTCGGCTCAAAAGTGATGCATTTTCCCGCGCGTATTACTAAAATACTCAAAATTTGCTAATTTCACAGGGCTATATTTTCGGTATTTAACAACATTTTGCAACCAAATTCGGCAATTTTACTAATTTTAGGCTGCTCTTTTCAGCTACAATGATACATTTCGTCCATGTGAAAAACATGCATAGACTCATATACGACGAAAAGTGAAAGACGTAAACTCATACGACGTCTTGCCTGATATATGTATAGGTTATTTTGAGGCAACGAGGGGATATGTGATTTATTCACCGAGGCGCGCAGCGCCGAGGTGAATAAACACATATCCCCGAGGTGCCTCAAAATAACGTACTTATTTTTCACATTGCGAGGTTGCGTTCATGAGACAGAATAGAAATGCCATATTGCCTTCGTTATGTTGCCATAATAGAATAGAAATGCCATGCATATTGCCATATCTTAATGCCATATTGCCTTCGTTATGTTGTTTTTTTTCTCTTTTTTGTGCTGCAAAGACATTGCAGGTGAATATTAGAGGGGATTATTAATTGCAGGTGAATATTAGAGGGGATTATTAAACGGAAATTGATTAGAGTGGAATATTGAATATATTCCCCGATAAGAACAAAGGAAACCGAGCAGGGTGAAAAATAAGCATGTTTTGAGGCTGTAATATGCTATTTATAACTTGCATACCTACAATCACGTGCAATAATATTTTTTTTTTCATTTTGACACATCTACACTCATATAATTCGATCTTTTCTTACTATTTCCCCCCTCCCTCATTGACACTGTTGGGTGAATCTTTTCAGCCAACACTGTGGTTTGGTATCATGAAAACAACATTGTTTTGGGGGAAGTGGCGAATAGGATGTCTCAATAATTTTTGCTCCTGATTGTAGAGTAACAAATGTCATCGTAAGCAACGGTCAATTTTTACTTGCCGTAAATCGGTAATACGTAACATACAAAAATCCTTAAGGTGAAAAAAAGGAAAATTCACGATTTAGATGGATATTAAACAAAAACAATATCCAAAGAGTTTGGATTTTTGTACAAAAGTTACGCAACTGCCGTTGCTATGGCAACAATGACGTTCAAAGATGGCGGATATTATGGCTTTAACTGACTAGTAATTTAACTCGTAAACGACATCGGTAACCCCCAAATTTTATTTTAAAAACTGATTTCTCTTAGTATACTCAAGTACTTTGACAATTCAAAAACGTTTGTGGTTAACCTTTTAAGTTTTCGCCCATTTTTCTTATTTCTGAAAAATAGGCCAACAAGTTATTGGTTAACCCCTTAAATTTTCGTTATTTTAGAGCGCTTATTTATCTCCCAAAAAGGCAACAAGAAACGGCTAACCACTTCAATTTCGTAAACATTAAATCGCCATCAACTTAAGGTAACTGCTTAAGTCTTCGCTCATTTTAGCCATTTTTTTATTTCTGAAAAGAGGGTGGGAAAGGGGGGGGGGTATGGATCACGTTTCACAACGAAAAAAAAGCCGTTTCACGATTCAAGTGTCTTAAAAAAGCATTTCACGGAAAACTAGACTCTCATAAAATAATATAATAATAATAGGTTTATTAAGACTATGTTTAATGCATGGTATAGTATCTACGATTTAAGTTCTCTCATTTCTCTTCTGTCAGTTAAAAACTACATCACAACTTAGAAGTTTGAGTAACGAGAATGTACGACGACCTCCACGCGTGTCCTCAGCGTGAGAAACCTTGTCCTCAGCGTGAGGAACCTTGTCCTCATCGTGAGGAACCTTGTCCTCAGCGCCAGACAACTTGTCCTCAGCGCCAGGGACCTTGTCCTCAGCCCCAGTAACCTTGTCCTCAGCGCCAGGAACCTTGTCCTCAGCGCCAGGAACCTTGTCCTCAGCTCAAAGAACCTTTTCCTCAGCCCCAGTAACCTTGTCCTCAGCACCAGCAACCTTGTCCTCAGCGCCAGGAACCTTGTCCTCAGCGTCAGGAACCTTGTCCTCAGCGCCAGGAACCTTGTCCTCAGCTCCAGGAACCTTGTCCTCAGCTCCAGGAACCTCGCCCTCAGCGCCAGGAACCTTGTTCGTAGCGCCAGGAATCTTGTTCGCAGCGCGAGGAACCTTGTCCTCAACGCCAGCAACCTTGTCCTCAGCCCAAGAAAACTTGTCCTCAGCGCAAGCAACTTTGTCCTCAGCGCCAGAAACCTTGTCCTCACCGCAAAGAACCTTGTCCTCAGCGCCAGGAACCTTGTCCTCAGCGCCAGGAACCTTCTCCTCAGCGCCAGGAACTTATCCTCAGTGCAAGAAACCTTGTCCACAGCGCCAGTAACCTTGTCCTCAGCGCCAGGAACCTTGTCCTCAGCGCCAGGAACCTTCTCCTCAGCGGCAGGAACTTATCCTCAGTGCAAGAAACCTTGTCCTAAGCGCCAGTAACCTTGTTCTCAGCGGCAGGAACCTTGTCTTCAGCGCCAGGAACCTTGTTCTCAGCTCAAAGAACCTTGTCCTCAGCGCCAGGAACCTTGCCCTCAGCGCCAAGAACCTTGTCCTCACCGCCAGGAACCTTGTCCTCACCGTACGGAACCTTGTCCTCAGCGCAAGGAACCTTGTCCTCAGCTCAAAGAACCTTGTCCTCAGCCCCAGCAACCTTGTCCTCAGCGCCAGGAACCTTGTCCTCAGCGCCAGGAACCTTGTCCTCAGCGCCAGGAACCTTGTCCTCAGCTCAAAGAACCTTGTCCTCAGCCCCAGTAACCTTGTCCTCAGCGCCAGGAACCTTGTACTCAGCGCCAGGAACCTTGACCTCAGCGGCAGGAACCCTGTCCTCAGCTCAAAGAACCTTTTCCTCAGCCCCAGTAACCTTGTCCTCAGCGCCAGGGACCTTGCCCTCAGCGGCAGGAACCTTGTCCTCACCGTCAGGAACCTTGTCCTCAGCGCCAGGAACCTTGTCCTCAGCGCCAGGAACCTTGTCCTCAGCGCCAGGAACCTTGTCCTCAGCGCCAGGAACCTTGTCCTCAGCGCCAGGAACCTTGTCCTCAGCGGAAGGAACCTTGTCCCCAGCGCCAGGAACCTTGTCCTCAGCTCAAAGACCCTTTTCCTCAGCCCCGGTAACCTTGTCCTCAGCGCCAGCAACCTTGTCCTCAGCGCCAGGAACCTTGGCCTCTGCGCAGGAAATCTTGTCCTTAGCGCCAGGAACCTTGTCCTCAGCGCCAGGATCCTTGTCCTCAGCGCAAAGAACCTTGTCCTCAGCGCCAGGAACCTTGTCCTCAGCGCCAGGAACCTTGTCCTCAGCTCAAAGAACGTTTTCCTCAGCGCCAGGAACCTTGTCCTCAGCGCTAGGAACCTTGCCCTCAGCGCCAGGAACCTTGTACTCACCGTGAGGAACCTTGTCCTCAGCGCCAGGAACCTTGTCCTCAGCGCCAGGAACCTTGTTCTCATTTCCAGGATCCTTGTCCTCAGCTCCAGAAACCATGTTCTCAGCGCCAGGAACCTTGTCCTCAGCACCAGTAACGTTGTCCTGAGCGCCAGTAACCATGTCCTCAGCGCCAGGAACCTTGTCCTCGGCTCCAGGAACCTTGCCCTCAGCGCCAGGAACCTTGTCCTCAGCGCCAGGAACCTTGTCCTCAGCGCCAGGAACCTTGTTCTCATCTCCAGGATCCTTGTCCTCAGCTCCAGTAACCATGTCCTCAGCGCCAGGAACCTTGTCCTCATCGCAAGGAACCTTGTCCTCAGCACCAGCAACCTTGTCCTCAGCGCCAGGAACCTTGTCCTCAGCGCCGGGAACCTTGTTCGTAACGCCAGGAACCTTGCCCTCAGCGCCAGGAACCTTGTTCTCATCTCCAGGATCCTTGTCCACAGCTCCAGAGACCATGTCCTCAGCGCCAGGAACCTTGTCCTCAGCGCCAGTAACCTTGTCCTGAGCGCCAGTAAGCATGTCCTCAGCGCCAGGAACTTTGTCCTCATCGCAAGGAACCTTGTCCTCAGCACCAGCAACCTTGTCCTCAGCGCCAGGAACCTTGGCCTCAGCGCTAGGAACCTTGTTCTCATCTCCAGGATCCTTGTCCTCAGCTCCAGAAACCATGTCCTCAGCGCCAGGAACCTTGTCCTCAGCGCAAGGAACCTTGTCCTCAGCGCCAGTAACCATGTCCTCAGCGCCAGGAACCTTGTCCTCGGCTCCAGGAACCTTGCCCTCAGCGCCAGTAACTTTGTTCTCATCTCCAGGATCTTTGTCCTCAGCTCCAGAAACCATGTCCTCAGCGCCAGGAACCTTGTCCTGAGCGCCAGTAACCTTGTCCTGAGCGCCAGTAACCATGTCCTCAGCGCCAGGAACCTTGTCCTCATCGCAAGGAACCTTGTCCTCAGCACCAGCAACCTTTTCCTCAGCGCCAGGAACCTTGTCCTCAGCGCCAGGAACCTTGTTCTCATCTCCAGGATCCTTGTCCTCAGCTCCAGAAACCATGTCGTCAGCGCCAGGAACCTTGTCCTCAGCGCAAGGAACCTTGTCCTCCCCGCAAGAAACCTTGTCCTCAGCGCAAGGAACCTTGTCCTGAGCGCCAGGAACCTTGTCCTCAACGCCAGGAACCTTATCCTCAGTGCAAGAAACCTTGTCCGCAGCTCCAGGAACCGTGTCCTCAGCTCCACAAACCATGTCCTCAGCGCCAGGAACCTTGTCCTCAGCCCAAGGAACCTTGTTCTCAGCTCCAGGAACCTTGTCCTCAGCTCCAGAAACCATGTCCTCAGCGCCAGGATCCTTGTCCTCAGCGCAAGGAACCTTGTCCTCAGCACCAGGAACGTTGTCTTCAGCGCCAGGAACCTTGTCCTCATCGGCAGGAACCTTGTCCTTAGCGCCAGGAACCTTGTCCTCAGCGCCAGGAACCTTGTCCTCAGCGCCAGGAACCTTGTCCTCAGCGCCAGGAACCTTGTGCTCAGCGCCAGGAACCTTGTCCTCAGCGCAAGGAACTTTGTCCTCAGCGCCAGGAACCTTGTCCTCAGCGCCAAGAACCTTGTCCTCAGCGCCAGGAACCTTGTCCTCACCTCCAGGAACCTCGCCCTCAGCGCCAGGAACCTTGTTCTCAGCTCCAGGAACCTTGTTCTCAGCTCCAGAGGCCTTGTCATCAGCGCCAGGAACCTTGTGTTCTGCTCCAATAACCTTGTCCTCAGCGCGAGGAGCCTTGTCCTCAGCGCCGGGAACGTTGTCCTCAGCGCCAGGAACCTTCTCAGCGCCAGGAACCTTGTCCTCAGCGCAAGGAACCTTGTCCTCAGCGCCAGGAACCTTGTCCTCGACGCCAGGAATCTTGTCCTCAGCGTCAGGAACCTCGCGAAAGGCCTCCGAAGTTTTTACTCTTGTGCAATCGAGTGAGATCATATAAATTTGATTATCGCGTATCATGTTTATTATAATAATCACTATAATAATCACAGTTCACGAAACAGGCATCCTTAATTCTCATTTCACGGAGCATTTTTATCAGCAATCACGCCTCACTGCTGTAGAACAAATCACATTTCACGACACTAAAATCAAGCATTTTACATTTCACGCGAGCAAATATTGACCATTCACGGCTCACGAAAATACCCTCTGAAAAAAGGGCCCTGGAAAGATATAGGCAAATAAAGTAAAGTTTTGGTTTAAATGCTGTCGTAAGGGTACAGTTAAGGGTTTTTTGTCGTTGAAAAAGGGGGAAAATGGAAGAAAGAAGGAAATTTTCGTCCATTTTTCGACACTTGAGGTCCACACAGACCGGACGCGATTGGGCAACGCGACGCGAGGTTTCAAAAACAAATAAAACCGTCAACGGATAAAAATTTTACAAGATGTGCAGACCATATAGCTAAAATTGTTTAAGTGGTTCCGAATATTTGAAAAACATTGAAAAATATTAAACTTAAATGGCAGTGAAAACTGAAAATTCGCGTCGCGTTGCCAAATCGCGTCCGGTCTGTATGGGCCTTTAAAATTCAGGATTTTATTTTTTCATCAGTATAGTATTTGCGTGCCAAAAAGTAAAGGCTCAGGCCTTTCATTTTTGGCGACTTAATTTTTTTTAATGAAAATTTGGCAATGAGAGATTATGTAGAAATTAATATAGTTGCCACCACTGAATAGATCTACTAGTCGACTGGTAGTCGACTGGTGTTGCGTGAGAACGAATTACGGATCGACCCCGGTTGTAGTCAAACCATTTTTAATGTCAGGCATCGTTGTTAGTTATTTCCACCCGAAACAACAAACAGTCAAGTACAATAAAAAAGAACTTTGGGCAGCCGGAGGCGAGATAAAAGGTTTTCACAAATTCCCATGATTTTTACCTATGTCAGACTTTTCCTGCTTTTCTAAGACTGCATTCTTCATTCCTCATTGCATTCTCTATTCTCTCCTTCTTGCGGACTTGAAATCTAGTAACTATAGGCAGCTTTTTGAAAAATTACCATCGTGAAAAGATTGGGGAAGAAGATAGAAGCGAAGCGTTTATCTTCATGTCGATAGGAGGTGAACGCTATATAGCATATTGTCTTTTTAAAAGTCATTTTAGTATTTGGTTGCCTAATTAATTAATTCCACCTGAGAGAATAAAAGGTTAAAGAAACACTGGAATCAACACAGTGCCGTATGCTTGCAAACTATCGATCGATCCCTGCTGAGCTCACAATTAATTTTAGTGTTGGACTGCCCATCATTAATTCCACCTCAGAAAATAATGGTTAAATAAAATCAAAAGTGTAAGCCCGTGATGAACACCACATTCATTTTAGTGTTTTACAGCCCTATTAACTAATTCCACCTCAGTGAGTAAAGGGTTAAATAAAATCAAAAGTCCAAGCTAACAAGCGACAGCCACGATGGTCTAGTGGTCACGGCCTAGTGTCGCATGTCGGTGATGTCAGGTTCGTTTCCTGCCTTGACAAGGACTTTTTGTCTTTGTCAGGGGTACGAATTAATTATGGGAAAGCAAAAAGGATTAGCTATGATGGAAAACATTAAGCTTTCATCGTTAGACCTAGTAGTCTAGTGGTACCACTCAAAGCCTTCGGGTGCTACGGTGGAAGGATCGAGCCCGGTTAAGACCGGCTGAGACTTCGTGCTCAGGTGATCGATCTGACTGGCTGTATGCGGAGTGAAAAGCAAATTCGGGGGTTCTGTTTCCCCGAAAAAATGAGAAATAACCCTAAAGTATCTTGCGCTAAGAGCAAAGCAAAAAGACTTAGTATATTTTTCTGCCCCTCCCGGCCCCCCTCCCCCGGGGGCCTCCCACCCTCTTGCTCCCTGCCACCTTCCCACCACAACCCTGTCATATTCTAAGTCTACCGCGCATGCGCCAACCATCGTAACCACTAAAGATTCATTTCAATGGTAGTATCTTCTCCAAACATTTACCCGGCCGCCATTTTCTTTTACATTCTTCTTTCGTCCACCATTTTTTTTTTCTTGATTGTTTCATTCGTCCTCGAACCGATCCTGATACACGACATTGGCTTTTACAGTCCGATATCGTTACCACTAGACCACTTGCTCGTTGTTGGAAGCCTACCGCAACTAATTCACCTTAACCTGTTTTCTCTAGCTTGTGTAATTAATATTCGACACATTTCAAGTCACAAAATGAATTCTACAGGACTTGAACCACAGTTGTTCATTACACAACCTGTTGCCTTTATCACTAGACCACTTGCTCGTTGTTGGAAGTTTATCGCAACTTATTCACTTTATATTTTTTTCTAACTTGTATTATTAAAATTCAACCATTTTTGAATCACAAAATGGCTTCTGTAGGACTTGAACCACAGCTGGTACATCAAACAGCTTGTTGTCTTTACCACAAGACTACTTGCTCGACGGTGGAAGGCTAGCCCAACTTATTCACCTTATTTTTTCTCTTGCTTTTCTCAAGCATTTTTGAATCACAAAATGTCTTCTGGAGGACTTGAACCAGACCTGGTATATGACTCAAGCCTGTTCTCTTTACCACGAGACCACTTGCACGTTGTTGGAAACCTACCGCAGCTTATTCACCCTAACCTTTTTTCTCTCGCTTGCGTAATTAATATACGACACATTTCAAATCACAAAATGCCTCCTGTAAGACTTGAACCGCAGCTGGTACATGACACCAGCTATTGTCTTTACCACCAGACCACTTGCTCGTTGTTGGAAACCTAGCGCAACTCACCTTATATTTTTTTTCTAACTTGTATTATTAAAATTCAGTCATTTTTGAATCACAAAATGGCTTCTGTTAGACTTGAACCACACCTGGTACATGACACAAGCCTATTGTCTTTACCACTAGACCACCTGTTCCTTGTTGAAAGCCTACGGCAACTTATTCACCGTCACCTTTTACGACACAAGTCACAAAATGACTTCATTGGGACTTGAACCTTAGCTGGCACATGACACAATCCTGTTGTCTTTACCACTAGACCACTTGCTCGTTGTTGAAAGACAAGCCCAACTTATTCATCTTATTTTTTTTCTCTTGCCTGTATTATTAAAATTCAACAATTATTGAATCACAAAACTGCTTCTGTAGGACTTGAACCACACCTGATACATGACACAGCCAACAGTCTTTACCACTAGACCACTTGCACGTTGTTGGAAGACTAGCCCAACTTATTCACCTTACATTTTCTCTTGCCTGTGTTATTAAAATTCAACAATTATTGAATCACAAAATATCTTCAGGAGGAGTTGAACCACACCCGATACATGACACAGCCAACAGTCTTTACCACTAGACCACTTGCTCGTTGTTGGAAGACTAGCCCAACTTATTCACCTTATTTTTTTCTCTTGCCTGTGTTATTAAAATTCAACAATTATTGAATCACCAAATATCCTCTGGAGTACTTGAACCACACCTGATACATGACACAGCCTGTTGCCTTTGCCACAAGACGACTTGCTCGTTGTTGGACGACGCGCCCAACTTATTCACCTTATTTTTTTCTCTACCTTGTATTATTAAAATTCAACAATTATTGAATCACAAAACGGCTTCTGTAGGACTTGAACTACACCTGGTATACGACGAAAGCCTACCACTGGACCACTTGCCCGTTGTTGGATGCCTAGTGCAACTTATTCGCGTTATTTTTTTCTCTAGGTTGTATAATTAAAATTCAACCATTTTCAAATTACAAAAGGGCCTGTGTTAGACTTGAACCTCAACTGGTACATTACACAGGTTGTAGTCTTTACCTCTAGGCCATTTGCTTCGGGTTGAAAACCAATTAGAACTTATTTATCTTAACCTTTTTCTCTATATTGTATAATTAAAATTCAACTCTCTTCAAGTCGCAAACTCTGGGATTATATATATAATCCCGGGGACTGAAATGAATTTATAATTGCCTAAAGAAGCAACTACAATCTCCTCGTCTGGATAAACGCTATACCGTCTCCAGATGAGAAAGAAACAACCAGCCAACACCTCAGGCCAGTCAAAAATATATCATCCAACGCCTAAGGATTACCTGATTAACATGAATACTTTTCATACTCAGTGCAGCGAATTTATACAAAAACATTTGCTGTTTCACTTGTGGGAGGTTGAATGGCAAACTGCGCATGCTCATTCGCATTAAAGCATTTAAAGTGCGCATGTTCAACCAGATCCTGCGTCGCAAAACAAAACGTCGCCAATCGTGCTATAAGGCAGTGAAACACCTCGAACGGCGGCTTTAAGGCAGATAAATCCCAAGACTTACTTATACTTATTCACCTTATTTTTAATTTTCAATCAAAATTCAACCATTTTCAAATTACAAAATAACTTCTATAGGACTTGAACCACAACTTTTAATGTTAAGTCTCAAATTCTTTTCGATGCCACGCTCGGAAATACTTGCGATTATCATGCATGGCCAGAAACAGCCTGTTTATACTTGAATAAAACATCAGAAGAAAGCCTATAGACCATAGATTTTGAGTATGAATTTTGTAGAGTTTTGCAAATTCACGGTTCTGTTTTACAGGACTTGAAACGCAATAGAATGCGCACTTAGCCTAAGGCTCAAAACTGCATCTCGTTTATATGTCTCAAATTCTTTTCGATAACTCACTTGGAAAGACCTGCGATTTTTATGTCAAGAAACGTCGAATTTATGCTTTAGTAAGGCAGCGACTGAAAGTCTATGGACTGTAGACTTCAAATATGAAATTTGCAGAGTGGCACAAATTCTTGGTTCTCCTCTACAGGGCTTGAAACGCAATAGAACTGGCGCCTATAACTCGATTACAGGCACAATCATGATATGGCACCACATTACAGGCACAATCATGATATGGCATTTTGATTCTCAAATTCTCTTCGATAACCCGGGCGGAAAGACCTGTGATTTTCATGTCACAAAACGGCGAGTTATACTTGAGTAAGGCAGGGGCAGAAAGCCTATAGACCATAGATTTCAAATATGAAATTTGTAGAGTGGACCAAATACTTGGTCCTGTTTTAGAGGGCTTGAAACGCAATAGAACGGGCGCCTGTAACTCGGACCTGCATCAACCATTTTCGAATCACAAAATGACTTCTGTAAAACTTGAACCACTATGGTACATTACACAGCCTGTTGTCTTTACCACCGTTAGACCACTAGCTAGGTGTTGGAAGCCCACCGTCAATCATTCACCTTATTTTTTCTCTAGCTTGTACAATTAAAATTCAACCATTTTCGAACACCAAAATGACTTCTGTTGGACGTGAACCACTATGACACATTACAGAACCTGTTGTCTTTACCATTAGACCACTCTCTCGTTGTTGGAAGCTTATTCACCTTGCACAATGGTACATTACACAAACTGTTGTCTTTACCATTAGACCACTTGGTCGTGGTTGGTAGACTTCGGCAACTTATTCATCTTAAACTTTTTCTCTATCTTGTATAATTAAAATTTGACCATTTTTGAATCACAAAATAACTTCTGTATAGGACTTGAACCATGCACGATGATACATTACACGGCATGTTGTCTTTACCACTAGACCATTTGCTTGTTGTTGAAAGTCTATCGCAACTTTTTCACCTTAACCTTTTGCTCTAGCTAATGTAATAAATATTCTACTGATAGGACTTGAACCGCAATGGTACATCAAACAGCCTGTTGTCTTTACCACTAGACCACTTGCTCGATGTTGAAAGCCTACCGCAAACTTATTCACTTTAACCTTTTTCCTCTAGCTTGTGTAATTAATATACAACACATTTCAAGTCACGAAATGGCTTCTGTAGTAGGGCTTGAACCACACCTGGTGCATGACACAGCCTGTTGTCTTTACCATAAGACCACTTGGTCGTTGTTGGTAGATTACCGCAACCTATTCACCTTACTTTTTTCTCTATCTTGTATAATTAAAATTTAACCATTTTTGAATCACAAAATGGCTTCTGTAGGACTTGAACCACAGCTGGAACATGACACAGCCTGTTGTCTTTACCACTAGACCACTTGCTCGTTGTTGCAAGCCCACCGTCAATTATTCACCTTACTTTTTCTCTAGCTTGTATAATTAAAATTAACCAAATGACTTCTGTTGGACTTGAACCACTATGACAAATCAGAGAACATGTTGTCTTTACCACTAGACCACTGGCTCGTTGTTGGAACCTAGCGCAACTTATTCACCTTATTTATTCTCTAGCTTGTATTCCAAACATTTCGAGTCCCAAAATTAATTCCTTTTGGACTTGAACCGCAATGGTACATTAAACAGCCTGTTGTCTTTACCACTAGACCACTTGCTCATTGTTGAAAGCCTGCTGCAAACTTATTCACCTTAACCTTTTTCCTCTAGCTTGTGTAATTAATATACGACACATTTCAAGTCCCAAAATGACTTCTGTAGGACTTGAACCACAATGGTACAGTACACAGCATTTTGTGTTTACCAGTAGACCACTTGCTCGCTGTTGGTAGACGACCGGAACTTATTCGTCTTAGCCTTTTTCTCTAGCTTGTGTAATTAAAATTTAACCATTTTGGAATCACAAAATGACTTATGTAGACCTAGGACTTGAAACACAATGTTACATTACACAACTTGTAGTCGTTACCACTAGACCGCTTGCTCGTTGTTGGTAGACTACCGTAACCTATTCATCTTAACCTTTTTCTCTGGCTTGTGTAATTAATATTCGAAACATTTAAATACAATACACACGTGACGAGATAGGACCAAATTCTTGCATAAACCGAAACCAACATAGTTAATGAGTTATATTGTACTTTCATCGAGTCTCCAAACCATGTATTCTATTAACTGTGGTAGGACTTGAACCACAATGGGTAAAATGCATAGCCTGTCTTTACCACTGGACCATTTGCTCGTTGTTCCTTCAAAAAGCATAAACGTAACCTCTTTAGTTGTTACTCTCCATTTTGACAACTGACTCACTTTAAAATATAAAAAGGTGGTTTACCTTTACTTTTTGCTATGTTTTACGTCTCTATTTTTGGCTATTTTGACCACTGTTTCGAAATATGAAAAGTTGCCAGAGAACGCTCACAGCATAAAGGTTAAAAACAACCAAAAGTTTACGGAGTTAGCCTGTACACGTTATGGCTAGTCAGTCATGTTTTAACTAGTAAATGACAGTTCTATTATGATTGAGCAGCTTATATGCATATTCCAGCCTTCGACTCGGAGGTACATATTGTGGTTTAACAGGAATTTATCCCGAAGGAGAAGACGTGATTTGCAAACTCTGAATTGGCTTAACACGGAGACTTTTACAATCATCAAATTTAATTTATAGAGAATAATACATGGGTGCGCGGAAATACCAGATTTATTTCGAGTGTTGAACATGTTATCTCACGAGTGAGCGCCGCAGCGAACGAATGAGATATCATGTTCAACACGAGTGTCACAGAAATTAAAATAATGTAGAGTTATTTGATTGAAGTAAAGTTCGTTTCGTGTACATGCCCAAGTCACATGTTTTCAAAACAAGTTTATTTTCTGTACATTTGTCCAAAATCTGCTTTTTTACGTATTTGAGAGATGCGTTTGTGGGTATGCGCACATCGAGCTTTACCTCAACTATAATTTATAGTGTATTGTAAATATAATTGTCAAATTTATAAGGGAGGTGCCTCGCATGGGTTTTTTGTTACCCGTTCCCACTTTTACTTTTGGGCAATATCTATTTATTGTATTGTTAATATTATCAATAAAGTCGTAAGTCGTAGTTGTTTGTTCTTTGGGAACAGACGTAATATATCTTCATATAAAAAAACTCATCTTCACCAAAGGATCACTGGCGAGATACTCTCTCTTTAATAGGTCTTAATTATCTGCAGAAGCCTCCTACAGTGTAGCCTGCATGGCAGGCGATCTTTCCCAGGCTTGCCCAATTATAGGGACCGCCTGAAAAGATAAATGTGTAACCTTTGGAAGTTTTTATAGTAAAAACGATTTTTTCTTTGTTTATAGTTGCTGTGTGAGTTCATTGGAGGTTGTGGGTTTGACTTCTTGCCATCGGATGCTTTAATGAAATTTCTTGCTCAATTTCTCTGTGGGGGTGGAGGATTCGACGATATTATCTGTGAAAACGTGATATTTTTGTTGTGTGGTTATGACTATGCCCAGCTGAATAAGGTATGCGTGATCAATCTCGTTCCCCGAGCCTGCGATCGTCGGGAAGGAACGTGAGGCTCTGGGATAATCCGTTTCAGGGAGGAATCTGATTGGCCGTTGATATGGAACGCGCAGTTCGGTCTTAGCCAGGATTCCTGGCTTCCGGCAACGGATATCCCAGAGCCTCACGTTTCTTCCCGAGGATCGCAGGCTCGGAGAACGAGATTGATGCGTAATTAGCCATTCCGAAGTTGATAAGAGGACTGGGGACGAGTGTTAAAAATGCCGAACTCAAGAAATGAACCAAATCACTACAAAGACCACCTCAAAATTAGTAACTATACAAAGTTTGAAGACATTTACATGAATACACTTCGAATAATAAGCTTTCCAAAATTTTGAAATTACTGATGCACGTCCCCCAAAACAAAAATGACAGTACATTTCATAGTAAATATCGCGATTTTCGAAAGCTTATTATTCGAACTGTATTCATGTAAACGTCTTCAAACTTTGCATACTTACTAATTTTGAGGTGGTCCTTTTAGTGATTTGGTTAATTTCTTAGTTCAAAGTTCAAAGTTCATCACAACGGAACATTCAACATTCCATGGATGTTGATTATTGTAATTGATTCTTGGATGTCAAGTTCGTTGTTGATGCATGAGATCAGGGACGCCGGAACTAGGGGGCAGGAAGGGCAGCCGCCCCCGTTGCCTTTTACCAAGAGGGGCAAGGGGGGCAAAGGTGCCCTTTCAATTTAAAAGATTGCCTTGGCGAAATAGCGAATTGTCAGAAATGTTAGTGCAATTCTTCTACGAATTTTCTTCAGAAAACGCAAGAAATGCAGTCGAGCTTCAAGAATAGCACAATCGCCTGGCGGAGAACCCCCTCACACCCCTATCATCAAATAACTAGAAAACATGTTTAGGCGAAGTTCAACTCCCGATCGATGTTTTGCAAACATCTCTTAGTATATATCAATTCAAAAGTGCCCTTTCACGAAAATCTGCCCCCCTTGCCTTCACATCGTTCCGGCGTCCCTCCGTGAGATGTTGGAAGTTGCGACATGAACTTTAATGTCGCCATTCAATGTTGATAGTTGAAGGACGACATTGATTTTTGGCGTTATCGTTGGAGCGCCATGATCCTACGCCTCATCGCGTCCCGGCAGAGCGGGGTCATGCAAATGTTTTCAGTGTTTCTTCATTGATTATCCGGCTTTTCTATTATATTAAAAATTTTAAATAAAAAAGAAAGCAGTTGTTTGAATGTGCATGCGAGAATTTGAATCATTTTATTTCACTCAAAGTTTTAATTTTCGATAAAGGCAGTTCAGTTTTATAAAGAACATCTTAAAACGTCTTGCGAAGCGTTCGAGGTTGAATTCTACCTTAAATTGAAACTTATATTCGGGATAATAACATACCTAGCATATATATGTTTGGTGAATTGATAATTTTGTAATTAAAAGTGATATTTTTAGGGGATTTTTCATTTGTAAAAATATTCTTAACAAAATTATCGTGTTATCACGACAACTACTTGAATACTTCATGTTCGGAAAATACAACAGTTCTGTCAACAAGGCGAGGGGTTTCTGCATGCATGTATTTTCTAGTATATAGAGGTTAATATAGTCACTGCAATCAGTTATGTCTTGTACCTCCTACATTTCAATTGACGGAAAAAATTTTGAAACTTCCTTTTAAAATAGACGACAATGCGTTAGTTATGAACTTTTAATTATTAACTTTCAAAGATTATTTACATCAGTCATTGCGCAGAATTATACGTTTTGTAAAGGCTAATTGTATGCAGTGGATAATTTATTGAATCTTACCGCGTTAAAAGCTTGAGTATATGCACAAAAGAGTCTTTATTACCTAACAGATTATTATATTATTAAAGAGATTTCCCGTAGAAGTAAAAGCAGACAGTGTATGATGTAAGTTTCTTGATATTATCTCTTTGTAATACTATGAATTTTTATGAAGCAAGTCTCATAAATATTTTTATTATATGGACAATGGTGTTTTACTGGAAACTAAAACACTCGTAGAACTCATACGTCACTACATCCGGGACCAGGTGCGCGTATTCAGTTCCGTATTTCACCCCCTGCGGGTGGCACACGAAGCGGTTGTTTTGAAAATACAAATGGTCCTTGGTTCGTATTTAAAACGAAATTTTAACGTTGGAAATAAAACGAAAACATTTAAAAGACATCTTGAGATAAGTAAAATTTATTCTAGTTTTATGTTTGCACTGATAATTTAAAAAAATATCGCTTTTATACCGGTCTTTTGCGTGCTTATTTACATGTCGTCTTTGTGTGTATTTTTGTCACTGTGAGTAAGTCCATATACTGCAAAAACAGATTGGTTGAAATGACCAATTTAAATTGGTTGACTCAGACACATCTTTTTTTGACCAATTTTATTTGGTCAAAATAACCATAATATTGGTTGTTTTAACTATTTTTGTGGGTTGTTTTAACCCATTTATTGGTTACTTTTAACCAATAAAAATTGGTTAAATTAATGCGTCTGATCGAGACAACCAATTTAAATTGGTCATTTCAACCAATCTGTTTTTACAGTGACATTAAACGGTTGCGAGAAGATATGGATTAGTGTCAAAAACAATATCTCACTCGTTCGCTGCGCTCACTCGTGCGATATTTTTTTTGCCACTCGAACATAAAATCCATATCTCTTCGCAATCGTCTAATATCCTCTATTTGTTATATAGCTAGCGTGAACACCAAACGTGATTGGCTGATTTGTGGTCACGTGACTTCAGATAAATGCAATGTTTCCCGCCGGGCAACAAGTGAAAAATTGTTGCCCGCCCCGACCGGCCACGTACATAAATAAACAAAATGGCGGCACAACTACGATAATTAGAAACTACGATTTTCCAAGTTTGTGTTCAAATAAAGAATGTAAAAGGGAAGAAAAATACAACTCGTTTACTCTATAGAGTTTTTGCCACGAAAAACAATTGTTGTATATGAATGTTGTTGAAGATGATTTTTGTTCGTCGCTATATAACAAAACACTTAATGTCTGTTCCCTCGGGAAATAGATAGTTTTGTTTTCCCTCGAATCTCAATGTTTCCCTCGACTTCGTCTCGGGAAACATTGAGACTCTCGGGAAAACAAAACTAACTATTTCCCTCGGGAGCAGACATTAAGTGTATAATATAACATGTAGAATGTGCCATGCTTTAGAGCTTTAATGAGAATTGATACACTGCGTCTCCAAATATCCCCGCGCGATTTTTCTCTTCAAATTTAGACAATCATGGAAATAATATCCGTAGACCTTTTTAAAACGCATCTTGTCTTATTATTCAGGGTAAAGCCATTTTATTTTTAGTTAGTAATACAAACGTCCGTGATCGCTAGAACCTCCCCCATAAATATCCCTCACAAATTCTTCTCAGAACATTATATCAAAAAACGTTCCAAATTATTTTTCTTTTATCTTCCAAATTTGGGGGCCACCCTTACACTGTACCTGTAGGCCCTGTCAACTTATAATTTTCCCTATTGAAAAGTCTCTGCACGAATTTTTTTTCAAACTTCTCTGGTGCACGATTTTTTTTTCTGTTTCCCCTGCTCGATTTTTATTTTTGCTTTTGTCCCCCCCACTTTTCTAACGGTTCGCCCCTTAAATGAAGCTTAAAATCGAAGAACATCAGACGATAGTCGATCACTTGAAAGGTTCAAAGGGTTTTGCTGAAACGCATGATAAACTATACCAACGTTTTCTGAAGTGTTTGTTAGGCCAGATAAGGTATACAAGATATTGTTTAGTCTATAGTGGGATACATATTCATTTGGTGCAAAAAAAGTCGAAGGACAACATAGATTTTTGCCGGTGGCGTTGGAGCGCCATGATCCTACGCCTAATCAACTCCAGGCAAAGCGGAATCATTCATGTAATATGAAGTGTCACGTCGAAGTGCCATGTATACAGCTATGCGGAATCTCTAATAAATGAATAATTCTGTATGCATATGAAGTACCACGTTGTCTCTGTTACTGAGTATTACACATGCACATATTTAATAAGCATAACAACTTACTTGTTCGAGCAACGTGGCGAAGTCGGAGCTTGAATTTCTCTCTCTCGCTCGCTCAATTAATAAACCCACATCGGGCTAGGCGAAGCTATGTGGCCGAAAATTCGTGCAAAAAAAAAAATCTGTATTTTAATTTTTAGTTCAACGATTTTTACGGCAATATACAGGGTTTTCTTTACTGGTGACAATATCGAGGAACGGTTTACACCATCTGGAAGCTGCCTGATCAGCACTTCGGCAACGCCAAAAACGTTCCTGTACTTAGTTATGGGGAAGAACTGTCTTCCTGTACGTTTTAGAGGGGAATGCAATATTGGTCTACATGCAACTGTGATATTATTATGTTCGGTTACAAAGAGAAATGTGACGAAGCGAAGAATGGGAATTTGGAACATGTAGAGTACATCCACCGATATGGCACAACTTGGAACTCAGGCAGGAACTACCTTTACGAGCACGCCATGAAGAGAAAAACCACGTACCTCTACTACATATTTATGGACGAGGACGCATCTCTGCGGCCAAATGTCGATACCAACGTCAATGTAACGTCTCTTGGCTTATGGCGATCTTTTGAGAATTTTCTAGTGAAATACGAACCCGCAGTAGGAATTACAGCGTATTGCCATGGTAAGTCCCACCGATGTAAATGGCAAAGAAATAAACCTGGCGGGAACGGTGTCTATGAGTCATATTCTCTCAGGATATCTTTTTGATGCATGTTTCAATGAATTTCATCACGACGCCCTGCCATATCTGCTGCCGTATAATCTTAAGAATGAAAACGAAAGTTGGATTTATAGTCAGCATTATGTCTCATTGTTAGCCAAACATTATTTCTCGGGCTCTGTCCTCATTTACGGCAACGTGAACATTGTGAACGGTGGACACATGCAGTGAGTACCCTCGAACTTCCGACTCGGAGCGCTTTAAACTCTTTCTCGACAAGTGGTTTCGCATTACATTACGATTGAATTTTTCTAATGTAAATATGTCGGCGAGTATTTACCCTCCTTTAAAACAAAACCCACCATTGAAATCCTCACAAAATAACCTTTGGAACGGGGGTTCAAGTGCCGTCACAACATTATACAAACCGAAACAATCATATATTTATACTCACCGCTTCGCCAAACATTCAAGCGAAAAAAAAGAGAAAAAGTTGAATATCTTCTAAACTTTTCGTCATTTTCTGAAAGGCTATATGTGTAAAATACTCTTTGTATTCAAGCGCTTTCGTGTAGAAAGTTTCGTATGAATACGCAGACTAGAAATGTTTATTTTGAATTTTTCAAGGTATCGGGTTTTACCCGCACGCGCTTGTATTACGTAATACTTGGCCAATAAGGAGCTCCTTTAGCCAGGATGACGTCAAACTCACGCGTATAGGTGCACTTTGACCTGTAGAATCATTTCTGGCATTTGCAGAGTCACGCGTACAAACGACGCATTGTTTCGACATGTTTAGTCGTGTTTCCGGTTGGGATTTTATCAAACTCGGACCAGAAATGTAAATCTGATGATAAATAGTTTGAATTTAAAGACAGAAGGTTGAAAATAACACTGTATACAGTGTTTTAAAAACAAGAGAAGAAAGTTGAGATAAGAAATATGAAAAAATTTGATCATCAAAAATTTGTTGAGGATCTGAGGCAACAACCCTGGGAAAATGTATACTTCTTCGCTGAAGATCCTAATGCTATGTGGGAAATTTGGAAGAAATTATTCGTAGAGGTCTTGGATAACCATGCACCACTTCAACATAAAAAGATTAGAACAAAAAAAGTTCCTTGGATTAGAAGTGCTATAAAGCAACTTATATTCACAAGGGACAGATTAAAAAAAAAGGCCATTATTACAAACCTAGAGATAGACTGGTTAAATTACAAAACAACGAGAAACAAAGTTAATATTCAGCTAAGGAATGCTAAAAAAAATTATTACTCCACTAAAATTTCTGATAAAAAATGCAACCCTAAGGAGGCTTGGAAAACTATAAACGATATACTAGGTAGGCAAAGCAAACCAAAAGTAGTAAATGAGTTAAAATTAGGTGAAAATAGTTTGACAAATACCAAAGATATTGCGGAGGGCTTTAATAATTATTTTTCAAATATTGGCCCTGATCTAGCTAGCAAAATTGATACTCCAAATTTGAACTTTCAAACATATATTGAAAAGGCTAAATCAGAATTCAGTGCATTCCAGCCAGTCACTGTCAGCAATGTCTACCATCTTTTACATGGTCTTTCTAGCAACAAAGCCACCGGCGTTGATAAGATCTCCAGTAAAATTATTAAAATAGCTGCACCTGCTATTTCAGATTCACTCACATATATTTTCAATCAAGCTATTATCCTATCCCTTTTCCCTCACGAATGGAAAACGGCTAGAGTAATACCTCTCTATAAAAATGGCCAACGAAACCTGCCAGGAAATTACAGACCAATTTCAGTTCTGCCTGTCATTAGCAAAATTATGGAAGGAATTCTGTACGATCAGCTATACAATTATTTAACCAAATTTGACCTTCTGGGTGACTGTCAATTCGGTTTTCGTAAATTTCACTCTACAGCTACAGCATTACTTGACTGTACAAATGATTGGTATATGAATTTAGACCGCAAAATGTTTAATCTGGTAGTCTTAATTGACTTAAAAAAAGCATTTGATACTGTCGACTATCAAATATTATTGAAAAAATTAGAGCTTTATGGAATAAAAGGACAAGCTCTGTCTTTTCTAAAATCATATCTCTCAAATAGAAACCAAAAATACCAAATACAAGGATCTGTTTCATCAGAGAAATTGATCAAATGTGGTGTACCACAAGGCTCTATTTTAGGGCCCCTATTGTTTCTGTTATATATTAACGATTTGCCTCAATGCCTGAATAAAACAAAACTTCGGTTGTTTGCTGACGATACGAACCTGACAGTTTCTGACACTATCGAAGTATAATCAAATTTAAGGCCAACTATTTCTTCCGGTTATGCTGATTTAATTAAGAGAGTTATTGAGAGTTGTCGGTCACATTTGACTACCAAAGTTTCATCGTTTCTTATGTCTTGCATCAAATTACTGGTTCAAATTTTGCTGGTTGATGGAGTTTGGACTCTGCATGCTGGTAACATTCAGTCAATTTCAAAAACTAAAAAAATTGAACGAATATTGTTATTTATAAATGAAAAAAAGTTTTTTAGTTAGTCTAAATTACTGAACGTTATCGATTGACAAAATATCTGAACTTACAAAATTGAGGCTAAACGCGTAAGGATCTTGTACTATATATAAAGTCTTGATTTGTGGTTTAAGCATGTGGTGACTTTGGGTGCAGTTGTCTTTCCATTAAAATCCAATAATTGAATAAAAATAAGAAACGAGTTTTAACTTAGTGCGAATAGAAGAGGAAATGTAGCTCGTAATTAATGTATATCGATCATTTAAAGTAAAATTTACAAAAGTAAAGCCTGGTTTCAACGTCCCACTTTGCTTGTGTCGAATATATGCAAGGTGCATTTGATTCCAGTGTATTCCGTTTCAAACGTAGAATTTTGTATGTATTTGAATTCAATTGGGCTTGGGCGTTGCCTGGAACAACGTTTAGCTTGAGATATTAAAACATATAAAAATCTAAGGTTAAAATAAGAAAAATTTAAAGAATTTACTAAGAATACACCGAAGATCGTTAAACTGCAAAAATACCTTGTGATTACTGTACTTAAGAACGTCTTAAGAATGTTTAAGCCTAAATTGTTGGAAAAATAGAAATATATATCCAAAGATTTTTCTTTCTCCGAAACACATTACATGAAGTTTTCGATGCCACGCCAAAGCGATTTAAATTCGACACGTGCAAAATGCGACGTTTGAAACAGGCCAAAGACCGAGAAATAGTGAAAGTAATAAAAAATGAAATGAAAAGAAATGTAAATAATATATACTTTGAAAAAAAAATGAAAGTAATATAAGAAATGTCAAGAAATGTAATATATAATTATGAAAAATATGGAAAGTAATTTAAGAAATGTCAAGAAATGAAAACAAATTAAATAATAATAATTATGAAAAAAAGATGACAGTAATACAAGAAATGAAATGTAAAGAAATGAAAAAAAATAAATAATATATAATTATGAAAAAAAATGAAAGTAGTATAAAAATGTTATGAAATGAAAAGAAATCAAATAATATATAATTATGAAAAAAAAGTGAAAGTAATATAAGAAATTCAATGTTATAAAATGTAAAGAAATGAAAAGAAATTAAGTAATATATCATGGGAAAAAATGAAAATAATATAAGAAATGTAAAGAAAAGAAAAAATATATATAATTATGTTGGAAAATTGTAAATATTTCTTTAATATTATAATTTTTTGCCATGTTGTTGTGTGCCTGTTTTTTTTTTCAACTTTTACCGGAATTTCGTATACCAATAGACAATTCCATTATAGACTAATTTTAAAACAAGGCAAGTAGACTCAAATAAATCACAACTCAGCTAAAAAAAGCATACTAAAATTAGTAAGTGTGCAAAGTTTGGTTGCGAAATGTTGTGAAATGCGGAAAATATAGCCTTGCAAAGTTCGCATATTTTGTATATTTTTGTATCGCGTGCGGAATTCCTACCACATTCCTACCACATTTAGGCCGAAAATGGTCGCACGCAATACAAAAGTATAAAAAATTTGCGAACTTTGCAACGCTATATTTTCCGCATTTTACAACATTTCGCAACCAAACTTTGCAAATTTACTAATTTTAGTATGCTCTTTCTACCTGTGGTGATTTATTTGCATCTCCTTCCCTAGTTTTAAAATTAGTCTATAATGGGAATTTTCCATTAAGGACCCAAACCAATAAGCTGCGGTGTAGAAGGGTATTTAATACTAAGCTCGCTATCTTGGTTTGTGTCTGAACGGACTTGAAACGCGAGGAGAGATGCGTCTGTATTAGAGAGATGCGTTTGTATTAGAGAGGTGTGCCTGTATTAAGGCGAATTTCCACTCAGGAAATTATACGTGCATTGGAATGGACAAGAAAATTTTTCTTTGTGTTAAAGTCATTAGTTCCAGCCCAGAGCTCACGAGACAAAGAGAAATTTTCTTGTCAGTTCAAAACCACGGATAATTTCCAGAGTGAAAATTAGCCTTCAGAGAAGATGTGTTTGTATTAGAGAGAGTGGTGGCTGAAACTACTTGAAAAAGATATGTCAAATGTCTTGGTTTCGTTTCGTTTCGTTTAGTTTAGTTTAGATAGCATTCTACATGCAATAAGTTGTCGTTGTTTGTCTCAACTAACTAGAAAGGATATCTCGAATGTGGTGATCCAGTGTGCTGGTAGAGTTATTCTTCAATAAGGTACACGGATAAAATTGAGAAAATCAACAACTTGTTCCAAGTTGATATCAACAGGCGTGAACAAGGTTGTGCGGCCCACTGTGAACAGTATTGTCAACATCTTGTTACAGCATTGGTCAACTGTAATAACTTGGAGCAACATGGTTGGCAACTTGTTCATAGTTGGCCGCACAACACTGTTCACGCCTGTCGATATCAACTTGGAACAACCTGTGCGTTTTTAGCCGTGTACCTGAAAGTCGGTACAATCCTCCCTTGTCCTCAGGCGCTATAAAAAGATTTCGCATCGCAAATCACTATCAAAAAGGTTTACCTGAAGTAGTGCGTCAGGCGCGCAAGGTGGAATGGGATGTCCCCATAAACCCCCTGCACTACCCGTCCATCGCTTTGCACTACTTCATGTAAACCACCTTTTGTAGCTCCTATGTGAAATTGTTTTATAGCGCCTGCAATCTCGTACCCAGAGCCGTCAAGTGCATGCCTCTCTGGGTACGAAGTTGTAGTGCATAGAAATGAAGCGAAGTCCAATCTCCTTAGTCTTTCCAGGGATACCTGTGGGTTCCGGCACAGAATAAAGATCGGTAACCAATGGGCCACCCAACGGTGCAACGTGGCCTCTTTTTTATGCAAAATTATGCAGTTCACTGGCCAGAAGGCGGAGCAGCTAGATAGTACGGCGTAAACATTGGCCAGAAAATGTTATTGACTGGCCAGGAAAATGGCGGCCAATACATGCGTAATGCGACATGCGCGAGGACAGAAACTTCAAAGCTTCCGACGTAAGTGGCCCTTCTGTATGGATCTTTATTCTGTTGTTCCGGCATGTTTACTATAATCTGAATCGATAGTAAAAATCCTATAATCTTTATGATGTCACTTGACTTCGCGGGCTGCGTCTGTGTGGATCTTGCTCCTATGATTCCTATCTCTAAAAAAGTCGCCACAACCAAGGCGGATTTAGTGCATCTTGACGCCATTTCCAAAACAACTGGTCCCTAAACTATTCATGGTTTTTATATTGAACTTACAAAGACCGATGTTGCAGACTGGCTTCCGGCAACAGATTATCCCAGAGCCTAACGTTCCTTTCCGAGGATCGCAGGGTCAGGAAACGAGACTGCGGCTACTGCTATTTTTCTATTTTCCGCTATTCCCAGAGCACAACCTCGTTCCCAGGGTCTTTCTTATTTTTTATGGTTGTGGTTGAAAAGGGCTGGAGGCGTTTGTTCTTTTGATTTTGCAAAAGCAGCACCAACCTCGTTCCCAGCACGACAAATGGCAAAATTCGCATGGTGCTCGTTTGCAAAAGCAACTCCAGAAAGGTCCCCCTTTTGCCCACCCCATGGTTCTTGTGGTCCCCCCTTGCATAATTGCATTAGATTTGATTTGCGCATAGTTTGCGTATGGCTCGGATTTTGTCGACTTGCATCGTTGTGATCCGTATTTCCGACGTATTTCCGGAATGTTCCGAATTTCAGGCTTTTTTATAAATCTCCGCGTGGCAAATATGGCGTAAAAATTCTGCTGGTTTATATTGATCAATCATATCTTTATTTGAAGGTAATATGCTTTATTTAATAACAGTATTTGTAGTAGAATACTTAGATTGCTAATGTAGACGGAATTTTTAGGACATCGGGCTCGAATTAAGTGCGAAATGTTCGGTATAAAGTTTGTAGTTTGCACGTGCAGTCGTGCATCGGTTTGGTCGATTGTCGAAATAAAAACCGTGATCTGATTTTAATAGCACTGACCAATTCAATAGAAAGACTAAGGAAGCTATAAAATTATTGAAATAGTAGAGGAAAGTTAGTTGTTCTTGCTAGGATCTTTATAAGGAGGCAAATATTTTTATATATTTTATGAATTTTAAGCCTGTTTAAGGTGGCTCTCTAGGGTTTTTTAATTGACTACAGTTTTGTATTCAGGAGACTCCTGTTACTTTACATGACATGAAGACGAAATTTATTGGACACATTAGGGCCATTTATACGGGACAAAATAAGTCGGGACAAAATAAGTCGCGGCTTACATAAGTGGAGTTATCGAACAAATGGTTCTCTGCAGCATTAGTCTTATTTACTTGCTATAGCTATAATGTTGTTTTGGTTGTTTTTGTTTTAATATGCAAGGCTAATAATTTTACGTTGTTTCGGGCATATGCAGTAAACTTTTTATCCAAAATGTCTTATTTAAGACACAACTTAAATAAGAACAGCTAAAAATCCTGTTCTTATTTAAGTTGCGTCTTACATAAGAATTTTGTACCTTTTATACGACAAACTCGCGTCTTATTTAAGTTGCGTCTTATGTAAGTCGCGACTTATTTTGTTTTGTTTAAATGGCCCTATTGACAATGTTCTCCTGAACATTACAAATTGCTACATTTGTGTTAAAAATCTGTTATCATGGCAACAGCATGGTTAGAAATAAAGCTCAAAATTTGTCTTTTTCAGGTTATTTTAAAAATTCGCTTTCTTTTTCAGGTTATTTTAAAAATTCGCTTTGGTGAAATTTTTTAAAACTTTGCATAAAAGATAATACTTGTATAATAATTTTTTCCTTTCAATTTAAAAAAATTAAATCAATACGTTTCTTGGAAAATTTTAAAAACGTCAAAAATCAATATTGAAACCCTTCGATTTAATTTTAGGAAAAAAGGATATTGCACTTGTTGTGCCGAAACGTGTGCAAAGTTTTAAAAAATTTTACTGAAGGAAAAGGGATAAATTTGGGTTAAATTTTGGCAATTTTACTAGATTTTGACACAAACAATTTATAAATACCCCAACTGATGTGTACATCCATTTTGTATAAAAACAAATTATGTTTGATATACTGTTTATAACTGTGTCGGTTACCGGTCAACTAAGCGTGGATTATACATGTAAAATTGGCAAAGATATTTAGGTAATTACTAGTTATGACTCTTGGTATTAATTTGAAAAATGTTTGTCAAAATACGTCCTGTGAAAGTTTATAGTAGTATTGTCGGATGTTTTCGCAAAATGCCCGTTCAAATTTCAGTTTTTAACTTTTTATAGTGGCATTTTAACATTTTATAGTCTCATTTCACCTGTAGAGGGCTCATTATTTAATTCATCGTTATTGTCATAAATGCTGCTACAGTACCACTCGCGTATGTCTTAACATATGATACGCGTATGATACTCGTATGATACGAATACGGTACGCGTATGACACTCGTATGATACGAATACGGTACGAGTATGATACGCGTACCGTATATAACAGGTACGCGTATGACATGCATATCGTATATAACAGATAGGCATATGACACGCGTACCGTATATAACAGATACGCGTATGACACGCGTGTCGTATATCCTATACATTTGATACGCGTATACAGTGTATACAAGGCGTATATTAGTGCAAGGTGTATAAAAAAAATTTTGTTGGGATACATTTAAGCTAGAGTATGAATGATGAAGTAAATTGACCACTTGAGTAATAGACTAAATTTTTATCTCAACAAGTCTAGACAAAAATTTCATCACAGCTTGAAAGAGCATCACAAAATTAGCAATATTCCAAAGTTTTGTTGCGAAATGTTGTAAAATGCGGATAATATAGCCTTGCGAATTTTGCCGCTTTTCAGTCATTTTGTATTACAAACGGGAAATTGACAGCCCCAAAGGGTTTTGGGCCACTTGATGAATTCTGAAATCCGGACTGCCTGCTCCTCGGCCTGTTCACCAAGCCTGTAGTGTTCACAGGACATTCTGACATGTGTAAGTCACAGGCCTCACGCCTTCTTGTGAAGCATCATTATTTGTTCTTTCGCATAAAGCGGAATTCGCGTGCCAGGCATCTTCGTTTTCGTGGCGTCAGTGGCGATGGCCAGTATATGATATACATGCGGATGATGTACGCGTATTTATATGATCTAGCCAGATACGCGTATATGCCCAATATATACACGTATATGCCCAATATATACACGTATATGCCCAATATATACGCGTACATGCCCAACAGATACGCCTATATACCCAACAGATATACGCGTATGCGTAATCAATGAGCTCACACGCATAGCATGCATACATTGAACATTATAGTATTAATGTAGTATAAAAGCAGTTTAAATCGTTGCAGTTATCAAATAATTTATCAGTACCATTTAAACGTCGATTTGGTACGTACTTTGTAATTAATAATTTTCTGCTTTGTTTTTATATCAGTAGTATAGATGACACAGCCATAAAATGCTGTCATATTGCCTCCCCTCCTCTAAAAAACCTATGCCGCTATAAACTAGTGCAAAAAGCTAACTGGTTTAAAGTTAATCGTTTGATGAGAGAAATTTAATTAACATGCATGCATGTATAATTTGAAAAATGAAGTATTTTACAATGCCCAGTGCCTTCTTGAAAACCGACATGACTAATCTAAACAATTTCTATGATTATAAGGTTATTAAATGACTGATTGCTATGTATAGGCCCTACTAAACATTTTAACACAACTTTCAAAAATAGTGCAAAGACTGTAAACTTTAAGCCGGGCTTTTCAGTGATTGATTAGTGCTTTTTACATGCATGTTTTCGTATAATTGCAGTATGATCTTTATTTTATTGGATTTCTACTTATAACTATATTTACGTATTTTGATTCCAATGAATATCGTATTAGATATTTTTATTATTATTCAAATCTATAAAACGACGCATTTTGCGTTTCAGTTCCATGCGTATAAGATATATCACATATACTGTGTCTGCCCATGATGACTATACGCATTATAATGGTCGTGTATATCCGCATTAATCGCACGCGTATCGTAATCATAACACACGCGTATGGTAATCTTAAGATATGCGCGTCGTAATTATGAGACACGCGTATCGTAATCTTACGATACGCGTATCATAATCAAGAGATACGCGTAACATAGTCTTAAGATACGCGTATCCTACGCACTTCATACGCGTATCACTTGGATAGCTTACGCGTAGCATACGCTTATAATACGGGTATGATACGCGTACCATACGCTTATGATACGCGTATGCTACGCGTATCATACGCAAAAAAAGTGTTAAGACACACACGAGCGGTACTGTAGATTGTGGAGAAAACACTGCAAATTCTTGAGGAAACTTTATATTATATCCCAATGTTTGTGATCGAACCTCGCGTACGGCACCAAGCGGTTCAAAAAACTTCCAGAATACCGCTTGAAAAAAAGTTTACATTATCTTGAAACATCACATCCAAGTGTGTCTTGGCTTTTAGAACTCTTTTTATCCTTTCAACTTAAGCATAGTTCACACTTTTGTTTCAAATAAAACACAACGTTTGTTTGTATTTTGAAATCACACGAGTTTCAGTTTACGTATATACGAAGAACGTAACCCTCGGAAATAAAACCCTGGGCAGCCACTTTAAACAGATTAGCAAGTGTTTGGAAATTTTACACTTTACCATACCATAGCACAGAATACTATACAGAAGTCCATCTTCATTATTGTTGCACAAGCGCTATTCTTCATGATTCGTCACTCGGCAAGTACTGTAAACAGAAGCAGTCACCCTCCCTTGGACATGTGCCATTTTGAATATTTTCAGTGGGGGGCTGATTGATGAATTATGACAAATAGCGCTTACGCAAAAACTAACAAAGATGGACTTATGTACAGGCCTTGCTCTAGGGGGCGTGCGTCCGCACGCTCCCGAGATTGCTTGAGTGAGCGATTCATCGCACAAGCAAACTAAATATTTCTTCCAGAATGGAGCGAATTTGTTAAGTTATTTACAATCTTTCGGCAAAAAACCAACTCATTTTCTTAGAATACATCAATGGCTAAACATTTTACCACTTACTTTGAGCTCAACGAAGGAATAGATTACCTTTTTGTGCTAGAAATACAAATGGCAAAGGTTCTGAAAGATAAAACTCAGAGCGGGGTTATAAAATAAATTTAAAAGTGGTGTTTTCATTATGAAAACTGTGTTATCCCATTTTTCATTTGTATTTATTGGAAATGAATTAGAAATGTAATTGCTTTTTGCGGAATGCGGAAACATCGAATTAGATCGAAACAATTTTGTTGTTTTTTATCCAAACATTAAATATCTTCAACATCAGTCTACAAATTGAGTTTTTCTTTTATCTTTCAGGCAGTAATAAAGCCACTTAAAAGTTGTAGTAGATTAATTTTGAATAAAATAGTTATTAAACAAAAGTTGACATTGAAAGAAAAGATTTGTCATGATGTTAAATTTTATAATTAAGGATGCGGTACAGTCCGCATGTAAACAAAGGCTTTGTTTACATTTCGGTATCCAAAATATTGAATTTTATTCGACAACTATTTATATTTTCATGATTCTAGAGTATAATAAATTATCAAGAGACAACAACCAAGCTTTGCAAGAACATAAAATGAAATAAAAACCTAAATAAACTGTTTGTAAATAAAAGAGGGCTCCTTTGTGCACATTTGCAGATCGGACTGTACCGCATCTTTAAGTGCTAATAGTGTACATTTTTCATGTGTAGTCCAAATTTCATCTTATACTATTTAATTAGTAAATTTGATAATCTATTTCTCTGAAAATGACAAAGTTTGGGTTCCAGCCATTTTTATTAGTTTTGACTGAAACCCTGAAAAATGAGGGTTCTGGCTGGAACTAACCGGCCGGAACCGAATTCCGGTGCATAGGGAGAGAGAATAGGGTTGGCTGGAAAAGATATGCTGTTTCAGCTTCTGGTGCTCTACACATGTTCGTATGGGAAAATGGGGATGATTTATTGGTTACGCGGGCACACATGCTCTTAAGATACCTGACACACCACCGGTTTATTTTAGGCTGCTTTTGCGCTAGCCAAGCTATTCACATCCTCAGCAAAATTCTCGTAAATTTTTGTAGATGTACAGTGCAAGCTCCAAGAATGTCACAAGTTCCTGTCTCAAGATCTCATGATTACGACTATTCCAAGATCCTGAATAAGAGGTAAATGATTTTTCTTCTAATTATTTTTAACGTTTTCCTTGTATTTCTTGGACAATTATCTTTGTAATATGTTATTAATTTGTTTCATGTTCTCAATAGTGAGTTTTTAAATTTTTTAGATGTGTTGCAATTTCCAAGAATGCCTCGAGTTGTTGGCTGAAGTGTTTTTGATTGCAAAAGTGAACAACGTCATTGGAAAGTATATAAAAAGGTTTTAATATTTTTCTTATCTTACATGAAATGCTTTGAACATTATGTGGTTGCTTGTGATCAATGGTTTCAAAAATCCCAGCAGAATATTGCAAAAATAGCATGACCATCTTACTTATGACACAAAATTCGACAAAAATAACACAATCTTTATGCCTAACTATGGTGAGTGCACAAAAATTGCACTCTTTTTATTCTATTATTACACCACTATTTTGACTTTTCAGTTTTATGGTCCCTTGATTACTTGGTTAAGTTTGGTGTTGCTACCAATCACAGAAAGTCCATAATTTTCAAAGCAAAGAAGCATTTTATGAGCAAGCCAGAAAATGACAAACTGTCTGTGTTTTGAAAAATTGTGTTTAACAATGACGATTTGGTTTCAACATACCTGTACATTTTTTTTTGTTTGGCATAAATACAGAACATATAAATTTGTGTTTGTCTGGGGTTATTTCTCAGAACATAGTTGTTTCTACATATTTCCAAATTGTGTTTTTGTCAAATATAAAAAAATGAAACGTTTGTCATTCTTTGGCTTTGTCACAGCAGTTAAACATTGAGAAGATTGAGGTGTTTTCTTATTAGAAACCAAAACGGTTACTTACAAATAAGTCATGTGACTTTTTTTAGTCATCTTTCATGTTTCAGTTAATGTTTTCAGCAAAGGATTAAAAGAACATTGATTAATTGACATTTGTTTCATCATACTTTGTGTTTTGAACTTATCGAACTGCATTGTGAAAACAGCAACTTATGTCCCATCTCAATCTTCTCTTGTTTAAGTGGACTTTCAGTGTTTGTTGAAAGTTTGGAAAGTTTATCTGAAAATCACACTGTTTCTTTCATTCTGGATTTTATTTGAGTCTTGAAATATTGAATCTTAGAAAAAGCAATTAGTGATTAATTGAAGTATACAATACTTCTAAAATTAGCACTGTTAGAACTGCCTCGTTGTTTAACTGTCCTGTCTTATTTATCCCAGCACACTCTTAATACATGAGTTTGATTATTCCTGGATACAAATAAAATGGATTTGTTAAGGAACAAGGCAGTTCTTTACAGTACTGACTTATAGGAGGGTTGTGTTCTTCAGTTGTTTTATATTCTTGTGCCGACCAGTTGTTATCAACAAAAAATTCGAATTTAGGAACAAACTTTGTGATTTTTAAAAAGAATTTCCCAACTTTAAAACAAACAGTTAAGGTCAAAAAAGTCTAGGATATTGCCTTTACTTCATTACAAAGAGGAACTTATTTGAATGTGGAACTGAAGCAGCAAACTATACTTAATTTTGGGTAATGTGAGATAGAGAAAATAAAAGGAAATTGATTGTCATGCATGGCAAGGAAAATCACAACCAGACTACAGGATGATGTTCTAGGTTTAGGTTTTAGGTTTATTAATAAAAATGACATTGCAACCAAGGGTTGAATTACATAATTTACACCAACTATCAATTACTACTGTACTATACAAATTCTAAAATTATCATTAATTCTTTGCATTTAAAACTATTTGCACACAGAAGGTACAAATATGTTTTGTATTATTGGGAAGGAAAAACAATCTGCATTCAAAAGTATATACCAATAGGAATATTGAACCTGAAGATAAGATCAACAGTTCTTTGTGCTAAGGTGTTAATTAATCAAGGCACAATTTGATCAGATTTGAACCAAAATTCAAGCACGAAATTAACCACACACAAATTTTGCTGAAACTAAAAATATGTGTCACATAAGATCGGGAATGACTGAGATGCTTTTTATGTACCAAATTTTATAATCTGAATAAAATGTTCTAGATTTTAAAATACTATTTTTATTTAAATAGTCTGACCTGCAGCCCCTAATTTTTTAAAGCATGAAATTTTGTTATCGAATCAGATTCAATTAGTTAATTCGGTACTTTGGTTTGGTTACTAAAATGACAAGATTATTTTTAGAATTTTTATTGGCTGGTTGTGGTTAATAATTGTTTTGCAATTAAAATTAATTTGTTAGCTTTCTGTGTTTACATGTATTTTGTTTTGCTTCAGTTCAACATTATTTTCAAATAGTTCCACTTTGTAATGGTGTGTTATTAATAGTCATAATAATAATATAAGAAAACAGGTTTACATGGCACTCGAACATGGTCTTTTCAACGAGTATGTAAAGGTAAGTTTATACTTCAAAAAGGTCTGTTTTTAACCTGACAAGAATGTCGTCCAAAATGAACTAAAACTCAATCTTTGTGACCTTTCAATTAATTTCATGTCTTTTGATGTTTGTGTTTGGTTTGCTTTAACGTTGATACTAGAAATTGATGAAAATGCAATATGATATTTTGTTTGTTGAGAGAGATTCTAAGAATTGTATGGAAACCGATTGTTCCTTGGGACTGAAGACTTTGATCAAAACTGTTTGTCTACTTTTGAGTTAGCAAGTTATACCTTATGCACATGTCAACGGCCTGCCCTGGGGGGTACACCCCTGGGACTTTAAAAAAACATGATTCTAATGCATTAATTCCCCCTCCCTCACCCAGGAAATGTGTAAGTCAAACTGCCCTCCCCCTTGGGCTTATAATAAAGTAGTTCATAATATAAATAGCATACAAACAATTAAAAATTATCATACAAATTGGGGTATCACAATGGCACTCATGTATTCTGTATTTATTGATTCAAATTTTAGCAAGATCACTACAAAATATCATGAATAATAAGTTGGCGATCGATATTTTTCTCTGTGAGCCTGCGATTTTGAGTTTGCACCAATTGTGCACTTCACTTATAAAATTCAAATTGTCATGTCAAAGTCCCCTACTTCCCCTCCCCCTGTCGTCCTATTATTGCGAAGTTTGTCAGGGAAGAATACACGGATAAAATACCAAATTCCACCTCGTTTCCCCCGGGGTGTACCCCCCGGGCAGGCCGTTGATATGTGCATTATCACGTAAAATTTTTTCCTGTTTTTTTATTATGCAAAACAATAAGCTGTTTTCCAACTGAAAAATTTCTTTTTGGTTTGACCAGTTTATAGAAGGATATAAATCAGAAAATCCTTTATGAACATTTGAAAGTTTGGTTCAACAATATTTTGTGTGCTTCTGTACATGTTTGCTACATGTTTTGCATCAAAAATATTTCATAATGAAATCAAAAAGTTGTTGTTTTAAAATATACAAATAATTATATAACAGAACAACTTTTCCCCACGTGATATCTAGGAGATGTTTGTTTGTAAAATAGTGCATCAATGTGTATCATTTTACTGAATTTATCAAGGACGAGAAATGTACCATTTCCTTAATTAAGCAAAGCAAATTTAATTCGAATTTTTGTTCAAAAAATCAATCAGTATTGGAGAAATAATAACATTCTTTTAAAATTTTATTGAACTGCATTTTCATCAGTTTAATTAGTATTAACATTATATATAATCAATTCAAAGTTGTCAGGTTAAAAAACGACGCTCAAAAATATATGGCTCCGAAAGACAGAGATGATTTCAAATTTAAGTATTTCTCGATTTGGCAATTGAAAAAAAATGTTCTTAAATATGTTCAATTGAGTATTACAAAGAATTGAATTCTCTTAGCATCTAGACATCGCGATAAAATCATTTCCATACTCAAGTGAAACTTTTTGTTCACTTTACCAAAAACACTTAGTCCGTATTCAAAAAAAAGTAAAAGCAAGTTCGATTTACTTTGTCTTTGAGCCATATATATTTTTGTGATTGTGAAACAACTCGATTTTACGCTTTAGATTTCTTCGTCAAACTCGTAAAATTTATCATCAGAGTTGTTTTGTAATTATTTATCTTGAAGTATAAACTTTCATCTTGAAACGACCAAGTTCACATATTTAATATTGTGTTTTCACTTGTGTAAACACAGTGTTAATTGTTCTCTTTGTGTCATGTTCTGTTTTCTTCTATTGTTATTTAAATAAGTACAGTATGCAGTGGTTGTTCTCTTTTTATTGTTATTCAAATTGTAAAATTACAAGTTCTTTTCAATAAATTGTTCATTAATTATACAAGAGACTCCTTTTTAATTCAAAATTCAATTCCCATGGGAATTGAAAAAAAAAATAAAAAAAATCCCTCTACCCCGGCCGGCTCCCCAAGTGCTACCTCTACTTCAAGCAGAAGCAAAAGTACTTCTGCTTAAAGTAGAGGTAGCACTCGGAGAGCCAGCCGGGGTAGCGGGGCGAAGAGAAGACCAACCTTGCAAATGCTAATGCAAATTGCTAAGTTGATCTTCTCTTGAGAGCAGCCACGCGCATACCTAGCGAATGTAAAACAACAAACAATTAGTAACAAATACTCGACATGCAAATTTTGAATCCCATGGCCGAAATGACAAGTGCCCCCCACTGATTCCTACCAACTGCCTACCTGCCTCAATCCTAAGCTGTCTGCCTCGGTCCTAAGCTGTCTGCCTCGTTCCTAAGCTACCTGCATTCCATTCGTAACTTCCGCTTTCCTCACCATCGCACAGACACTCACAACTGCCCAACCTGTCACCACCCGAACTGCCCACCCTTAAAACCGAAGGAATTAAAATTTTGGTAAAGTATATTGCATAATTAATTTAATTATTCGAATATTTTAGGCCAAACGCAAACAAATAAATTAAAGGTTGACGATTAAGAATGACCGCGTATACAAACAGGTGAGTTTCTTAGTTGCCTCTAACATGAAATTTTACATAGAAAAATATACGAAACCTCGAAATCCGGATTTTCCTTCTATATATACTTTACTATTGTTTTGGTTTAAATAACGAAACTCGACTAATTTTGCTGATGTTAGGAAATTAGTTATTTTGTTCGAAGAAGATATATTTTCTCTTTATATGTGCTCTCAAAATTTTAATTCCTTTAGTTTAGCTTAACCCCATGCATCTTATACACACGGCGCACACTCTCACAGTCCATACATTTAGCTAATAAATTACGTTATAAACAAAAAAGCAAAATAAAAAGATAAATTACGTTATCACTAGCTATCCTATAACCCACTTAGACTGAGTTTTGGATTCTGGTTCGAAAGGTAAAATCTTAACTGAAAGGGTATGGGCTTGAGTTTTGTTAACTGGTCCAAAGTAAATACAAACCTTAAACTTACCTAAACCAAAGGCTCGATTAAATAAGCATGAGAATGTATAGAATTACTTTTTAAAACTTCATAAGAGTTGAAAATCCAAAGGAAAATCACAATGACGCTAATTTAGTGAGCATGCAGTACTGTTTATCTATATAGTTCAAACAGATCGAAACAGACTTAACCGCAATTCTCATACTCATTTAACCGTAACGCCTTGATGATCATTTGCATGGCACGTCGCAGCTGCTCTCAAACCCGCAAATAACAAGATACTTATCATATTTAATCAAAGAGGATTCATTATAAAGTCAAATTTACACTATGAAATCAACATCAACATGAAAACAAAGCATAGTATATTCCCCTGGGAATTACAAATACGGAAAAAAATAAAATTGCAAAAAACTTAATGCTTGCGCAAAGTAAAAAATTAACATAAAAACCAAAGTATAGTGTATTCCTATGGGAATTAAACAAAGAAAAATAAACCCACCAATTCTTAATAACTTTTTAACGCTTGAAATAGGATTGTTTGTTTTCATCGTATGTTGATTTCATTGTGAATACAAGACTTATCCCATAGTTAACAGAATATAAACATGGATAGGGACCGCACCTGACATTAATTTTATTATCAACACCAAATGACGATGAAAAAGAGGAATGCTTGGTGCTAGACTCCACGCCATGTTTATTTTACATTAACTATGGGTGACGCGGATTAATATTTTGTTTTCAGAAAAGTCTACAATCGAAAATATTCCAGGCAAGATTTCGTGCTTTTAAGGTATTGTTGCTTCGATCTTTTTTATACAAACAGTTCTCTACTATCAATTTTGCAAACTTTTTTGTTGTTATAAAAAGCAAATTATGAAATGATACGTTACTGCGAAAAGACTGCGTTATCACGTTTTTGAAATTTTTATCCAAAGGCCAAACGTATTACCTGATTTTTAGGGCAATTATTTCCATACTCCGTAAATTGGAAAACAAAGTCGAAAGATTTGGTAAACTCCTAGCATGCTTATTTTCAATGAGAAAATCATTGTATTCACTTGAATCCCCTTTGATCTTTAAATAAGTATTTTGTCTTTAACTAACTTACATTGGTAAAATTTTTCGCTACTTTCATATTAGCAATGTTGTGGTTTCGGATTGTTGCGAATCGTCATTCTTTTCTTGGCTCCATGCTATTCGTGAGTGGTTCTTTTTGGTCTTTTCATCATCTCTTTTCATTACATCAACATTTCATCACATCACCTTTAGAATTTAAAAAGTATCCATGAGTCCACGAAATATGTTTTAAGGGCTTGAGTTATGCAAATTACCAGGATTTGTTAGCAGATATTCAGTCCTCATAATCAGCGGTTTACCAAATTATTGCAGACAAAAAATTGCCGTCGATATTTTAGGCTTCGGCGCCAATTCAATGCCATTTATTATCCCATAATAACAATTTTAAATTATAATAGTTTTGTTTGTGGAAACACCACGTAAATTTATTACTGCAAAGCTTTCGATCCGTAAGCTCAGTAATACTTTCGATCAGTAATAAATTTACGTGGTGTTTCCACAAACAAAACTATTATATTTTATCGCCATGCAAACATACAAAGAACTTAATTTTAAATTAACTGATAATTTGAAATGTGACTGAAATATTGATGTGCATAATAATATCTATGACAGCCCAGACCTAGGCCCTTTACTCGACCGGTTTTGGCATGTTTTGGTCAATTTTGGGCTAGCATTTGGCATTTGGGCTAGCACATGCTTTCGCCCATCCTCCGCCTAGCCCCCAAGGCGCGTGAGTCCTAGTCTTCCCGTGTGCGCCAAAATTAAAAATTGAAGGTCACAGTGCAGGCAGAAAGAGCGTTTCATGTGACGTCACGGCAACCATGTTTGAGGGCAAAATGACCAGGAGGGAGCTAGGGGTAGGACGAATTATTTTCTTATTGAAACAACAAAAAAGGTAGAATCTTGTCTGCGCACGCGTTAAAATTGGCACAGTAAACAGACTGAAGACCTGGAGCCGATTGTATAAAACTCATAATCATTTTAATCACGATTTTGTAGTTAAATAGCGATTAACTCTCAAGTAGGCGCTTCTTATTGGAAGACATTTCCACTTAATTATGATTAACTTTAATCACTTTTTCATACAACCAGCCCCTGGAGAGGGTAAATGTGACATCTGATTTTTAAGCGTTTTATTTCGGTTTTTTGCGTTCTTTTTCCTACTGACAAAGTATTGTTTTTTAATGCTTCGCTTCGAAGTAGGAAAGGTATGCGAAAATTCGGAAACAAAAAAGTATAAAAATCCAGCTTTATGGGTCGGGAATTCTCGTAATTTCACGACAGAAAATTGCGACGTTCGTATCAAAAATACTTTGAACAGTGATCAAAGAGCCAATTGAAAGAGCCAATTCCAAGTATTTTATCATTTCTGGTCAAAGGAAATGTCCTCAACAAAGGTGATTGGTGCATTCAAACTATTCAACAGGAAGTTTACAATTATACTAGGAAGTGTATGAATATTTCGAAGAACTTGATCAAATGAATTGGTCAGTCCGAGGCAGTGAACTCTAAGAGAACTGGAACGATAACTTGGCCGCCATCTTTGAAGCCACTCATGATGGCCGCCATGTAGGTATGGAGTGGAAAATACGCCGCCTAAAAGATGTCTGTTTTCGACCACTAAATAGCTGTATTTCAACAAGGAAAAAAGCTAAAAACTTTCAACAATACCCGAAATTTAATACAAAACATGTTTCCAGAACGTAGAGCAGTTATAAAGTTCTATTTTTGGAGTCAAAGTGCGAAGTTTTTTTCGGTACGTTCAAACTTGTGTAATATTTTGAATATCAAGCTGTTACCCAGGAAGTTTTTGCTGTTAGTGGATGTAAAATACTTAGAACTATCCAGTAAACCAGGTTTGAATCTGTAAAGTTGAAGACTTTCGATAAAAAAGTGCTTTTTCTTGCTGATTTTCGCTCAAAAACAACCTTTTGACTGAATTTCCCGCTCCTCGAAACTCTCCCCAGTCCTTTTGAAAGTTAATTTATTGCTCGCTGAGCTTGCGAGAAGCACCATCTTGGCTTCGGGCAAGTATGGGCATGTTTATCTGCAGTTAGCGTTCCAGTGTTATTACAGTTCACTGGCCCGAGGTAATGTATTGAATGAATATTTGATCATAGTGATTAATATTTAACAATTATTCGCTGAAGGCGAAGTGATTATCGGTGAATAAAAACCGAGACGAAGTCGAGGTTTTTATGCACGATAATCACAGAGCCTGAAGTGAATAATTGTTTTAGTATAATTTCATAGGTGATTATTTGAAAAATAATAAAACTACACATTTCGAAAATCACTTAGGTGATTATCACGTAATAATCACCTCAACGGCAACCTATCAGCGTAGAGAATTTTCAATAATCACCTATGTAATTGATTAACTCTCAAATAGGCGTTTCTTATTGCATGGATGACATTTCAGGATTAATATGATATGATTAACATGATCATGATATACAACCAGCCCCTGGAGAGGGTAAATGTGACATCTGATTTTTGAGCGTTTTATTTGATTTTTTTGCGTAGTTTTTACTAAGTTCTTTGTATGTTTGCATGGCAATAAAACATATAATAGTTTTGTTTGTGGAAACACCACGTAAATTTATTACTGCAAAGCTTTCGATCCGTAAGCCCGAATCTTCATCAGTGCTAATAATATGTCATATTATTACCACAAGCTTTGCAGTAATAAATTTACGTGGTGTTTCCACAAACAAAACTATTATTGTAGTTTTTACTACTGACAAAGTATTTTTTTTTAGTGCTTTGAAGTAGGAAAGGTATCCGAAAATTCGGAAACAAAAAAAGTATAAAAATCCAGCTTTATGGGACGGAAAATTGCGACGTTCTTATCAAAAATACTTTGACCAGTGAACAAAGAAAGGTCCGGTACATTCGTGTGAAAACTAGCTTATATTCTATTTTTGCGAATATATTATTCACCATGTTTTAAAAATATTTTTTAAAGAATTTTTCGAATGCGCCTAAAATTATTGACCAGCGCGGACAAAATTCCTACCCGTTGAAATAACATGAAATAATGATAGTGCTCGGAACTTAAATATTCAAACAACGTTTTGGAACTATAGTTGTTGGTATAGGCATTTGTACGATTTCAAGTGCGTTTTGAAAGAAACATGCACGAGTTGCACTAATTTTTTTACATGAATCATTTAAATGACCCGACAACTTAATATACAAGATTGCAACTGTCAGCAGTGAGGTATATTATTAGGTTTAATTAAAAAAGAGAGAAATTCTTGCATGCATGTATTTCAAAAGTTTTATCACTTACATCTATATTAATCACTTTTGCCTTTTCGTTGTTTCTCTTTGATCGGGCATCGACGTTCTGTTGATGGGTCCATGTCATTCCTTCGTCTGGTAATTCCATCTTGTATTGTCTTTGGTTGGATGATCTAGTTGTCTTCACTTCGCATTTGTCTTCTCTCGGTACAAGCTCGTAGGATGTGGTTTGATGCAAAATGTCTTTTCCCTGAGGAAGGATAAATAAACATTTATTTGAAAAAGTTATGTTATTCAACATTTATTTGAAAAAGTTATTTTATTCAAAATGTTTGAAGAGTTTCGGGTTTTAATGAGAAACGATTAAAAAAATCGCTGGAATCAATTGTGATTTTCTCTTACCTTGATAAAACTTGCGTTACTCTCATCTTGGCGATATTGTAGGATCTGTTGGTTGTAGGTCTTCATCTGAAATGAAAAGACATTTCCTATTAGTAACAAAATAGATTGAAGAAATTTTAGCATTCCTGTCTTAATTTAAAAGTGTATTAAGTACATGCATGGAACATTCCTGCAACATGTGTAGTGAAATCATTACACATGTTACAGGAACTAAGTATTCACTTAATACACTTTTAAAGATAGGAATGCTAAAATTTCTTTAAATTTTAAGTACACGAAAGTCAGGGTGCAGCATATCACACAGAAATAAAGGAAAAACTGGGTAAGTTCACCCTGTGACAAAGTTGCAACAATAACTTTTTAACCACCAATTTTTCAATCCAGCTATAAATTGCGTGAAATTTAAGGCTAAGAAGATTACATCATTGAGATTTTCAGGTACAGAAGGTGGTCATATGATATTGCCAATCAAATTCTCCCTACCCCAATATTTGGTGAAGTGTCCGCTACGACTGAGTAAGAGTTATATTAGAGGGTGTGGCAATGAACATGAGCAATAGTCTCGTCGCGTAGGGCAAAAATATTTAAATTATTGCAGAAATTACACCAGCAAAACTTACATTCACCGTGTCTTTGCATCGTCGTTGCTTCTGTTTTGGTGGTCGCGGTTTTTCATTTCTGTTGATGATCCATCATGGTCCGCTCAATTTACAGTGAACCACATAAAAAATGGATAAAATTCTGTGAACCAGCGGAACGATACGACTTGCAAATGGATTTGAACGGTAAATTTGACTTAAGTTTTAAATATACGTCTTATAAAAAAACTACAAAATTCTGGTGAAAATAAAATGCCGTGCCATACGTAATGAGTAATGCATAACAGTAAACAGAATTCTCTTAATTGTGTAGAACATAAATAACAGTAACAAACCGTACATTTGCTATCATCGTTGAATAGTTGTGGCTTCTTTTGGTCGTCATTCTGTCGACGTCTCCTAACACTTTTTCATCTGCTTGTTCTTCTTTGCTCTCGCTTTAATTGTGTCGTCGAGTTGTTGCCTTCATATCACTCTACCAAAAAATGTGCAATAAAAATTTTAGGGGAAAATTTAAAAAGTAATGGTCAGAGGACATTTTACGATGTAGGGCAGACTTTTTGAACAATTGTTACTTGTTGAAAAGAAGCTAGTATCATAAGCAACCTGGCAACATATATATGTATTGACATGCGTGAAAAACATTTAAAAATGCGTTATATTGCGTAGCTCATTATGCAGATTGCCATGGTTACGTCATTGTATTGTCGTCTAGTGTAATATCTTAAGGCCTGATTCCACCAGGCGGAATCTTTGTCTTTTTACAATTAGTTCTGCTCGAGTGCTCATGAAACAAAAAGAATTTCGATTCGGTCGAAAAGTTTCGCCTAGTGGAAAACCGCCTTTAAGGCTCTGTTACACGGTGCAATTTTTCATGCAACTTGTCTCGCAATGTTTAAAAAAAGATTTTGATAATGGATTGCAAGAGGTGTTACACGCGCGCTGCAATGATTTTCATGCAACTCGCAACGATAGGGGACAGAGGCATGCGAAGAGACTAGGGAGAGGCGCTATTTGGCGCCAAATTGTAATTAAAGTAAAGCGTGTACTGGGGAGAGCCAATAGGAACTCTCCAAGCTATAAACATTGCGAGACAAGTTGCACGAAGCCATGCTACACGCTGCAATGCTAAAAATAATTAGTGCAATCGTTGCCAAAAGTAGAACCGACTTCTATTCTGTGCAATGCTTCATGCAACTTGTCTCGCAAAGATTTTGACCATTGCAAGGCATGTTAAACGGTGCAATGACTCGTGCAACTTGTCTCGCAACGCCATTGCGAGACAAGTTGCATGAAAAATTGCACCGTGTAACAGGGCCTTATTAAGGTCTTTCACATTTACACACGTTAATTTGATCAAAAATGACGTCATTGTCGCTGCTATGGTAACCATGATGTGTCAGTATGGCCGATGTTTTAAAATACAATACAAGTGGAAATGTTTGCGAACTAGTTTAACTTTTTATTTTGTTAAAACGTTTTTCAATTCCTGAAAATAATTAATTATCCATCTTTTTAAAAAGGTCGCCAGTGTAGAATTTTTTCGTTGCAAGAAAAAACGTTTTAAATTTGAAAAATCTACACCGGCAATTTTTGGCCAAATAATTATTTACACTAATCAAAAGATTAACAAAATATAAAATGAGGTCACCGTTCTTTTTTTTCGAATTATAGTAGTTTAAAGCCAAAGAAAACCGGTCATATAAAAACGTCATGGCTACCATAGCAACGGCACTGACGTCAATTTTAGCAAACATTTCATACTCTTCAGGTAGTATTTTCTAAACAATTGTAAAAAAAATACACCCAAAATCGTAAATTTTCCAGCTGCAAAAAAATTCAGTAGGGAGCCACCTTTAGGATCCATACAGACCTAACGCGATTCGACAACGCGACGCGAGTTTTCAGTTTTTAAAAACAAATAGAACGGTCAACCGATAAAACTTTTACAAGATATGCAGACCAAATAGCTAAGTAATTTCAATATGAAAATACTAATTCTAAAATATTATTTAAAGTTAAATGGCATTGAAAATTCCGCGTCCCGTTGTAGACTGCGTTGGTCCTTCTTTTCCGCGGGTTTAGATTTTCAGGCATGGTCGCGGTCTAGTCCCGTTGCCAAATCGCATTCGGTCTGTATGGGCCTTTAGACTTATCACATAAATTAATTTACCAGAGAAAAAGCAACTCACCATCTTCTGCTGTTCAGTTTGTTTAGCCATGCTTTATCTTGGCTTTGATAGATTCACTACAGGAAATTAGAAAAATACATTCTACGGGTCAATTAAAGCTGTATTTTGCAGGGGGCCCTGTAATATAATTTGGGGGGGGGGTGAATTTTTATCCAACAGGATTATATTTAGGAGATTTAAAAATGGGGGGAGGGGGTGTTGGTCAGGTTGGGGGGTGTTGGACAGGTTTTCGGAAAGGGAAGATTTCCTATTTTGAGGCTAGTTTTTCTAAGATGACGTCCATACCATTTATGCTTTTGACTTAAAAATAATTCATTGTAGTCTAGGGGTATTGCGACCACCAAATGTTCACTGCTTAAAGAATAATCAGGTAGAAATTTTTACTAAAAAATATTAATTTTCGTAAATAAAATGTTATACTTTTCCATACTTGAAAAATTATAGGAGAACTTACGTCTGTAATAAATATCCTATATAGCTGATGTCCAATCCGTCTAAAATGATTTTGGGTCCATTTTACAGATTGGAGAAGAAGGCGACGCCATCTTGATTTGGAAGTCCTTCGACCAAGCCGAATTTTTTGTGTCAATTTTACTGCCATTTCTTCGTCGTTTTCTTCAAAATTTCTTCGAAACGTCTTCCTCAGAGGTTCGTCGACATTTTTATGGTATTTGATTGGTATTTATACTCGTTCGTTGGTAGAAAATCTATGCTTGTGGTTCAATTTTTTTCGCCGAGAGCGCAGTACCTTCTTTCGTCGAAGTCCAGGAGCAAATGACGTCAGAATACGATTGTTCGCTGACAAATACCCGTATGTATATTGACTAATGTGTGATTTTTTAAATACGAAGCTATAAAGCTTAGTTTCTACGTTAAATTAACGTTTTTTAACCACAATTTTCAACTCTGATATTTCTTGCATTTCTTTCCTTTATGATTTATATTTTATTTCGTTCAAAGAACGCTCCTAAAGAGCGTTTACCGTGTTTTTTTTTTATTCCCATGTTATGGAGTGCGGAAAGACAAGTCCGATTTGTCGGTTGAGTTTAACTTTTCCTCCGTGGCCGAATGGTAACGGCAACTGTATTGTGAAAAGCCACGCCCTTTGGTGTTTGCTGTGGGATCGTCCCTAGCTTGCGACAACTCAGGGACGAACCCAAAGGGTGTGAGTGACTCTCGAAAACAGATGCCGGTACCGATAGGCTACCGAAGGAACCTTTAAACCTTCGGTAAATTTCTTCTACTTAATCATTTACCTTAATACTGCCAGTCGGGGACCTGCATTTCGGGGACCACCCAAAACAGCAAGCTGCCGTGCAGGAAGGGCAATACAATTGCAGTGTAACACTACAACTGTACTGTCCTTCGTGCACGACAGCGAGTCGTTTTGGGCTAAACGGCTAGATTTGTAAGACAAATCTAGACGTCTTCCAAAAGACGTCTAGATTTGTCCAACTATATAGGGCCGACTTCGTCGCAATGATTGTGGTGCACTATTTTGTCATGATTCTGCGCAGTCGTTTCTTGTTCAATAAAGCTGTATATTACTAAAAAAATGCCTTTGAAAAGACCATCCGTGGTTTCGGGTTTGATTCCCAAAGCATTTTATGTTCATATTTACAGCTTTCTTAGGGCAACTCCATGCAAGTATGGAGAAGCTGATTATGTAACTTATCATGGCCGACATACAAATGACAGTAGTTTTATAAAGAAGATGAAATGTATAATAAACCGCAAGGTTTGTTATACTGTTACTGTCCTAGGGAATTGACCGAATAATGTTGTAATCACCCAGTTTCTTCCACATGCAACGAAGCTTTTAATGACATTATCAACAGTTATGAGGCATTCGGTTTAAGATTTCCAGAGCATGTCCGCACCATTTCGCAACTTACGATACAACTGATTACGGACGATAAGGTAATAATTGAGAACGAAGTGTGAAGGAAGCTAGAAGGTTTAATCTTTGTATAGGAGGATAAGATAATATTTATTTAACTGTGGTAAATTACAATACTTGAAGTATCGAGCATGTAGTCTATACTCTATAGGTATAGTTAAATTTCAATATGAACACACATTTTACCGGTCGAGGCATTTAATACTGCAACTCCGTGTATATTATTTCGCAACTCACAATATACAACTTATTATACGGACGATAATGAACCAATAATTGAAAACGAAGTGTATTTTTAATCTTTGAATAGTGCTACAAGCTTTAATGTTTGGATATTTGTCAGTATTTGAGTTTTCGAACATAACTGAGTCCTGTTTAATAACTGTGATATGCTATGAATTTTCTCGCTGTTTTATCGTAAACTCTGTTTAAAGTGAAGTTATACTGTATAGGCACAGCTAAATTTCAACGGGTCATTGTCAACAGTGTCCTTGATATAAGTAATTTACGAAGCCTTTGGTTTGAATCGCAAACACTTGAATGGCCTCGTGAATGGCAATTCCTCCATTATTTTAGGCTTGATGATCAGACATATAATAATGTACACGCGTTTAACATGATATTTGAAAAATAACCTGTCCAATGCTTTACAAAGCTTTACTAAAAAGTTTCTATCTCGTTTCATAATACTCATGATGCAATGAACTCGTGCATGTATTAAATGTTCGCATTGCCATTGATAGGAAACTAAAGTAAAACGTAGTTACGTAAGTAAGTTGTATAAAACGTAAGTAAGTTGTATATCGTAAGTTGCGAAATGGTATACACGGAGTTTTGCTATTGTAGCTGTGTATAAGTTCATAAAATACTCTGGGTATCTAACTTAGAATACATATTGTCCTCACTCCTCATAAATCGAAGGACTCATGAATGATTCTTTCGTTAAAGCTCTGTTGTTACTTGCGGAAGAAACAGCCATAAGTATTACGTAATTGCATGTGAGTGGGTGATTACAACATTATTCGGTCAATTCCCTAGGACAGTAACAGTATAACAAACCTTGCGGTTTATTATACATTTCATCTTCTTTATAAAACTACTGTCATTTGTATGTCGGCCATGATAAGTTACATAATCAGCTTCTCCATACTTGCATGGAGTTGCCCTAAGAAAGCTGTAAATATGAACATAAAATGCTTTGGGAATCAAACCCGAAACCACGGATGGTCTTTTCAAAGGCATTTTTTTAGTAATATACAGCTTTATTGAACAAGAAACGACTGCGCAGAATCATGACAAAATAGTGCACCACAATCATTGCGACGAAGTCGGCCCTATATAGTTGGACAAATCTAGACGTCTTTTGGAAGACGTCTAGATTTGTCTTACAAATCTAGCCGTTTAGCCCAAAACGACTCGCTGTCGTGCACGAAGGACAGTACAGTTGTAGTGTTACACTGCAATTGTATTGCCCTTCCTGCACGGCAGCTTGCTGTTTTGGGTGGTCCCCGAAATGCAGGTCCCCGACTGGCAGTATTAAGGTAAATGATTAAGTAGAAGAAATTTACCGAAGGTTTAAAGGTTCCTTCGGTAGCCTATCGGTACCGGCATCTGTTTTCGAGAGTCACTCACACCCTTTGGGTTCGTCCCTGAGTTGTCGCAACCTAGGGACGATCCCACAGCAAACACCAAAGGGCGTGGCTTTTCACAATACAGTTGCCGTTACCATTCGGCCACGGAGGAAAAGTTAAACTCAACCGACAAATCGGACTTGTCTTTCCGCACTCAATAACATGGGAATAAAAAAAAAACACGGTAAACGCTCTTTAGGAGCGTTTTTTGAACGAAATAAAATATAAATCATAAAGGAAAGAAATGCAAGAAATATCAGAGTTGAAAATTGTGGTTAAAAAACGTTAATTTAACGTAGAAACTAAGCTTTATAGCTTCGTATTTAAAAAATCACACATTAGTCAATATACATACGGGTATTTGTCAGCGAACAATCGGATTCTGACGTCATTTGCTCCTGGACTTCGACGAAAGAAGGTACTGCGCTCTCGGCGAAAAAAATTGAACCACAAGCATAGATTTTCTACCAACGAACGAGTATAAATACCAATCAAATACCATAAAAATGTCGACGAACCTCTGAGGAAGACGTTTCGAAGAAATTTTGAAGAAAACGACGAAGAAATGGCAGTAAAATTAACACAAAAAATTCGGCTTGGTCGAAGGACTTCCAAATCAAGATGGCGTCGCCTTCTTCTCCAATCTGTAAAATGGACCCAAAATCATTTTAGACGGATTGGACATCAGCTATATAGGATATTTATTACAGACGTAAGTTCTCCTATAATTTTTCAAGTATGGAAAAGTATAACATTTTATTTACGAAAATTAATATTTTTTAGTAAAAATTTCTACCTGATTATTCTTTAAGCAGTGAACATTTGGTGGTCGCAATACCCCTAGACTACAATGAATTATTTTTAAGTCAAAAGCATAAATGGTATGGACGTCATCTTAGAAAAACTAGCCTCAAAATAGGAAATCTTCCCTTTCCGAAAACCTGTCCAACACCCCCCAACCTGACCAACACCCCCTCCCCCCATTTTTAAATCTCCTAAATATAATCCTGTTGGATAAAAATTCACCCCCCCCCCAAATTATATTACAGGGCCCCCTGCAAAATACAGCTTTAATTGACCCGTAGAATGTATTTTTCTAATTTCCTGTAGTGAATCTATCAAAGCCAAGATAAAGCATGGCTAAACAAACTGAACAGCAGAAGATGGTGAGTTGCTTTTTCTCTGGTAAATTAATTTATGTGATAAGTCTAAAGGCCCATACAGACCGAATGCGATTTGGCAACGGGACTAGACCGCGACCATACCCGAAAATCTAAACCCGCGGAAAAGAAGGACCAACGCAGTCTACAACGGGAGGCGGAATTTTCAATGCCATTTAACTTTAAATAATATTTTAGAATTAGCTATTTGGTCTGCATATCTTGTAAAAGTTTTATCGGTTGACCGTTCTATTTGTTTTTAAAAACTGCCAAAAACTCGCGTCGCGTTGTCGAATCGCGTTAGGTCTGTATGGATCCTAAAGGTGGCTCCCTACTGAATTTTTTTGCAGCTGGAAAATTTACGATTTTGGGTGTATTTTTTTTACAATTGTTTAGAAAATACTACCTGAAGAGTATGAAATGTTTGCTAAAATTGACGTCAGTGCCGTTGCTATGGTAGCCATGACGTTTTTATATGACCGGTTTTCTTTGGCTTTAAACTACTATAATTCGAAAAAAAAGAACGGTGACCTCATTTTATATTTTGTTAATCTTTTGATTAGTGTAAATAATTATTTGGCCAAAAATTGCCGGTGTAGATTTTTCAAATTTAAAACGTTTTTTCTTGCAACGAAAAAATTCTACACTGGCGACCTTTTTAAAAAGATGGATAATTAATTATTTTCAGGAATTGAAAAACGTTTTAACAAAATAAAAAGTTAAACTAGTTCGCAAACATTTCCACTTGTATTGTATTTTAAAACATCGGCCATACTGACACATCATGGTTACCATAGCAGCGACAATGACGTCATTTTTGATCAAATTAACGTGTGTAAATGTGAAAGACCTTAATAAGGCCCTGTTACACGGTGCAATTTTTCATGCAACTTGTCTCGCAATGGCGTTGCGAGACAAGTTGCACGAGTCATTGCACCGTTTAACATGCCTTGCAATGGTCAAAATCTTTGCGAGACAAGTTGCATGAAGCATTGCACAGAATAGAAGTCGGTTCTACTTTTGGCAACGATTGCACTAATTATTTTTAGCATTGCAGCGTGTAGCATGGCTTCGTGCAACTTGTCTCGCAATGTTTATAGCTTGGAGAGTTCCTATTGGCTCTCCCCAGTACACGCTTTACTTTAATTACAATTTGGCGCCAAATAGCGCCTCTCCCTAGTCTCTTCGCATGCCTCTGTCCCCTATCGTTGCGAGTTGCATGAAAATCATTGCAGCGCGCGTGTAACACCTCTTGCAATCCATTATCAAAATCTTTTTTTAAACATTGCGAGACAAGTTGCATGAAAAATTGCACCGTGTAACAGAGCCTTAAAGGCGGTTTTCCACTAGGCGAAATTTTTCGACCGAATCGAAATTCTTTTTGTTTCATGAGCACTCGAGCAGAACTAATTGTAAAAAGACAAAGATTCCGCCTGGTGGAATCAGGCCTTAAGATATTACACTAGACGACAATACAATGACGTAACCATGGCAATCTGCATAATGAGCTACGCAATATAGCGCATTTTTAAATGTTTTTCACGCATGTCAATACATATATATGTTGCCAGGTTGCTTATGATACTAGCTGCTTTTCAACAAGTAACAATTGTTCAAAAAGTCTGCCCTACATCGTAAAATGTCCTCTGACCATTACTTTTTAAATTTTCCCCTAAAATTTTTATTGCACATTTTTTGGTAGAGTGATATGAAGGCAACAACTCGACGACACAATTAAAGCGAGAGCAAAGAAGAACAAGCAGATGAAAAAGTGTTAGGAGACGTCGACAGAATGACGACCAAAAGAAGCCACAACTATTCAACGATGATAGCAAATGTACGGTTTGTTACTGTTATTTATGTTCTACACAATTAAGAGAATTCTGTTTACTGTTATGCATTACTCATTACGTATGGCACGGCATTTTATTTTCACCAGAATTTTGTAGTTTTTTTATAAGACGTATATTTAAAACTTAAGTCAAATTTACCGTTCAAATCCATTTGCAAGTCGTATCGTTCCGCTGGTTCACAGAATTTTTTCCATTTTTTATGGTGGTTCACTGTAAATTGAGCGGACCATGATGGATCATCAACAGAAATGAAAAACCGCGACCACCAAAACAGAAGCAACGACGATGCAAAGACACGGTGAATGTAAGTTTTGCTGGTGTAATTTCTGCAATAATTTAAATATTTTTGCCCTACGCGACGAGACTATTGCTCATGTTCATTGCCACACCCTCTAATATAACTCTTACTCAGTCGTAGCGGACACTTCACCAAATATTGGGGTAGGGGGAATTTGATTGGCAACATCATATGACCACCTTCTGTACCTGAAAATCTCAATGATGTAATCTTCTTAGCCTTAAATTTCACGCAATTTATAGCTGGATTGAAAAATTGGTGGTTAAAAAGTTATTGTTGCAACTTTGTCACAGGGTGAACTTACCCAGTTTTTCCTTTATTTCTGTGTGATATGGTGCACCCTGACTTTCGTGTACTTAAAATTTAAAGAAATTTTAGCATTCCTATCTTTAAAAGTGTATTAAGTGAATACTTAGTTCCTGTAACATGTGTAATGATTTCACTACACATGTTGCAGGAATGTTCCATGCATGTACTTAATACACTTTTAAATTAAGACAGGAATGCTAAAATTTCTTCAATCTATTTTGTTACTAATAGGAAATGTCTTTTCATTTCAGATGAAGACCTACAACCAACAGATCCTACAATATCGCCAAGATGAGAGTAACGCAAGTTTTATCAAGGTAAGAGAAAATCACAATTGATTCCAGCGATTTTTTTAATCGTTTCTCATTAAAACCCGAAACTCTTCAAACATTTTGAATAAAATAACTTTTTCAAATAAATGTTGAATAACATAACTTTTTCAAATAAATGTTTATTTATCCTTCCTCAGGGAAAAGACATTTTGCATCAAACCACATCCTACGAGCTTGTAGCGAGAGAAGACAAATGCGAAGTGAAGACAACTAGATCATCCAACCAAAGACAATACAAGATGGAATTACCAGACGAAGGAATGACATGGACCCATCAACAGAACGTCGATGCCCGATCAAAGAGAAACAACGAAAAGGCAAAAGTGATTAATATAGATGTAAGTGATAAAACTTTTGAAATACATGCATGCAAAAATTTCTCTCTTTTTTAATTAAACCTAATAATATACCTCACTGCTGACAGTTGCAATCTTGTATATTAAGTTGTCGGGTCATTTAAATGATTCATGTAAAAAAATTAGTGCAACTCGTGCATGTTTCTTTCAAAACGCACTTGAAATCGTACAAATGCCTATACCAACAACTATAGTTCCAAAACGTTGTTTGAATATTTAAGTTCCGAGCACTATCATTATTTCATGTTATTTCAACGGGTAGGAATTTTGTCCGCGCTGGTCAATAATTTTAGGCGCATTCGAAAAATTCTTTAAAAAATATTTTTAAAACATGGTGAATAATATATTCGCAAAAATAGAATATAAGCTAGTTTTCACACGAATGTACCGGACCTTTCTTTGTTCACTGGTCAAAGTATTTTTGATAAGAACGTCGCAATTTTCCGTCCCATAAAGCTGGATTTTTATACTTTTTTTGTTTCCGAATTTTCGGATACCTTTCCTACTTCAAAGCACTAAAAAAAATACTTTGTCAGTAGTAAAAACTACAATAATAGTTTTGTTTGTGGAAACACCACGTAAATTTATTACTGCAAAGCTTGTGGTAATAATATGACATATTATTAGCACTGGTGAAGATTCGGGCTTACGGATCGAAAGCTTTGCAGTAATAAATTTACGTGGTGTTTCCACAAACAAAACTATTATATGTTTTATTGCCATGCAAACATACAAAGAACTTAGTAAAAACTACGCAAAAAAATCAAATAAAACGCTCAAAAATCAGATGTCACATTTACCCTCTCCAGGGGCTGGTTGTATATCATGATCATGTTAATCATATCATATTAATCCTGAAATGTCATCCATGCAATAAGAAACGCCTATTTGAGAGTTAATCACTATGATATATTAATAACTATGAATATTAATATTTAGTATAATTACATAGGTGATTATTGAAAATTCTCTACGCTGATGGGTTGCCATTGAGGTGATTATTACGTGATAATCACCTAAGTGATTTTCGAAATGTGTAGTTTTATTATTTTCCAAATAATCACCTATGAAATTATACTAAAACAATTATTCACTTCAGGCTCGGTGATTATCGTGCATAAAAACCTCGACTTCGTCTCGGTTTTTATTCACCGATAATCACCTCGCCTTCAGAGAATAATTGTTAAATATTAATCACTATGATCAAATATTCATTCAATACATTACCTCGGGTTGACCAATTCATTTGATCAAGTTCTTCGAAATATTCATACACTTCCTAGTATAATTGTAAACTTCCTGTTGAATAGTTTGAATGCACAAATCACCTTTGTTGTTTGTGCAACTAACCAATCATAAATAGAAACGAAATGACCAGAAATGATAAAATACTTGGAATTGGCTCTTTCACAGGAATATCTCGAGGAACTTGATGAAATGAATTGGTCAGCCCGATCGGGGTAATGTATTGAATCAATATTTGAGGAACACTTCAATTGGAACGACAGAAAGAGTTTTATAGAATCGGCTCCAGGTCTTCAGTTTGTTTACCGCGCCACTTTTGACGCGTGCGCAGACAAGATTCCTACCTTTTTTATCTCAACAAGAAAAAAATTCGTCCTACCCCTAGCCCCCCCCCCCTGGTCATTTCCCTCAAACAATGTTGCCGTGACGTCGCATGAAACACTCTTTCAGCCTGCACTTTGACCTTCAATTTTTAATTTTGGCGCTTTTTCACACGGGAGGACTGGGACTCATGCGCTTTGGGGGCTGGGCGGAAAATGGCCGAAAGCATGTGACATCATACTTGCCAAATGCTCGCCCAAAATTGACCAAAACATGCCAAAACCGGTCGAGTAAAGGGCCTAGGTCTGGGCTGTCATCGATATTATTATGCACATCAATATTTCAGTCACGTTTCAAATTATCAGTTAATTTAAAATTAAGTTCTTTGTATGTTTGCATGGCGATAAAATATAATTCGGCGCCAATTCAATGCCATTTATTATCCCATAATAACAATTTTAAATTATAATAGTTTTGTTTGTGGAATTACTGATCGAAAGTATTACTGAGCTTACGGATCGAAAGCTTTGCAGTAATAAATTTACGTGGTGTTTCCACAAACAAAACTATTATAATTTAAAATTGTTATTATGGGATAATAAATGGCATTGAATTGGCGCCGAAGCCTAAAATATCGACGGCAATTTTTTGTCTGCAATAATTTGGTAAACCTCTGTTTATGAGGACTGAATATCTGCTAACAAATCCTGGTAATTTGCATAACTCAAGCCCTTAAAACATATTTCGTGGACTCATGGATACTTTTTAAATTCTAAAGGTGATGTGATGAAATGTTGATGTAATGAAAAGAGATGATGAAAAGACCAAAAAGAACCACTCACGAATAGCATGGAGCCAAGAAAAGAATGACGATTCGCAACAATCCGAAACCACAACATTGCTAATATGAGAGTAGCAAAAAATTATACCAATGTAAGTTAGTTAAAGACAAAATACTTATTTAAAGATCAAAGGGGATTCAAGTGAATACAATGAATTTCTCATTGAAAATAAGCATGCTACGAGTTTACCAAATCTTTCGACTTTGTTTTCCAATTTACGGAGTATAGAAATAATTGCCCTAAAAATCAGGTAATTCGTTTGGCCAAGCACGAAATCTTCCCTGGAATATTTTCGATTGTAATCTTTTCAGAAAACAAAATATTAATCCGCGTCACCAAGAGTTAATGTAAAATAAACATGGCGTGGAGTCTAGCACCAAGCATTTCCTCTTTTTTATTGCCAGTTGGTGTTGATAATAAAATTACTGTCAGATGCGGTTGACATTCTGTCAACTATGGGATAAGTCTTGTATTCACAATGAAATCAACATACGATGAAAACAAACAATCCTATTTCAAGCGTTAAAAAGTTATTAAAAATTGGTGGATTTATTTTTCTTGTTTAATTCCCATAGGAATATCAGTACTTTGGTTCTTATGTTAATTTTTTTATTTTGCGCAAGCGTGAAGTATTATGCAATTTTATTTTTTTCCGTATTTGTAATTCCCAGGGGAATATACTATGCTTTGTTTTCATGGTGATGTTGATTTCATAGTGCAAATTTGACTTTATAACGAATCCTCTTTGATTAAGTATGATAAGTATCTTGTCACTTGCGGGTTTGAAAGCAGCTGCGACGTGCCATGCAAATGATCATCAAGGCGTTCCGGTTAAATGAGTATGAGAATTGCGGGTGGTCTGTCTGTTCACGGTCTGTTTCAACTATATAGATAAACAGTACTATATGCTCACTAAATCAGCGTTATTGTAATTTTCATTTGGATTTTCAACACTTATGAAAAAGTTTTAAAAATATTTCTATACATTCTCATGCTTATTTAATCGAGCCTTTGCATTAGGTAAGTTTAAGGTTTGTATTTACTTCGAACCAGTTAACAAAACTCAAGCCCATGCCCTTTCAGTTAAGATTTTACCTTTCGAACCAGAATCCAAAATTCAGTCTAAGTGGGTTATAGGATAGCTAGTGATAACGTAATTTATCTTTTTATTTTGCTTTTTTGTTTATAACGTAATTTATTAGCTAAATGTATGGAGTGTGAGAGTGTGCGCCGTGTGTATAAGATGCATGGGGTTAGGCTAAACTAAAGGAATTAAAATTTTGAGAGCATATGTAAAGAGAAAATATATCTTTTCGCACAAAATAACTAATTTCCTAACATCAGCAAAATTAGTCGAGTTTCGTTATTTAAACCAAAACAATAGTAAAGTATATATAGAAGGAAAATCCGGATTTCGAGGTTTCGTATATTTTTCTATGTAAATTTCATGTTAGAGGCAACTAAGAAACTCACCTGTTTGTATACGCGGTCATTCTTAATCGTCAACCTTTAATTTATTTGTTTGCGTTTGGCCTAAAATATTCGAATAATTAAATTAATTATGCAATATACTTTACCAAAATTTTAATTCCTTCAGTTTTAAGGGTGGGCAGTTCGGGTGGTGGCAGGTTGGGCAGTTGTGAGTGTCTGTGTGATGGTGAGGAAAGCGGAAGTTACGAATGGAATGCAGGTAGCTTAGGAACGAGGCAGACAGCTTAGGACCGAGGCAGACAGCTTAGGATTGAGGCAGGTAGGCAGTTGGTAGGAATCAGTGGGGGGCACTTGTCATTTCGGCCATGGGATTCAAAATTTGCATGTCGAGTATTTGTTACTAATTGTTTGTTGTTTTACATTCGCTAGGTATGCGCGTGGCTGCTCTCAAGAGAAGATCAACTTAGCAATTTGCATTAGCATTTGCAAGGTTGGTCTTCTCTTCGCCCCGCTACCCCGGCTGGCTCTCCGAGTGCTACCTCTACTTTAAGTAGAAGTACTTTTGCTTCTGCTTGAAGTAGAGGTAGTACTTGGGGAGCCGGCCGGGGTAGAGGGATTTTTTTTATTTTTTTTTTCAATTCCCATGGGAATTGAATTTTGAATTAAGAAGGAGTCTCTTGTATAATTAATGAACAATTTATTGAAAAGAACTTGTAATTTTACAATTTGAATAACAATAAAAAGAGAACAACCACTGCATACTCTATTATTTAAATAACAATAGAAGAAAAACAGAACATGACACAAAGAGAACAATTAACATTGTGTTTAAACACAAGTGAAAACACAATATTAAACATGTGAACTTGGTCTTTTCAAGATGAAAGTTTATACTTCAAGATAAATAATTACAAAACAACTCTGATGATAAATTTTACGAGTTTGACGAAGAAATCTAAAGCGTAAAATCGAGTTGTTTCACAATCACAAAAATATATATGGCTCAAAGACAATGTAAATCGAACTTGCTTTTTTTGGTAAAGTGAACAAAAAGTTTCTCTTGAGTATGGAAAATAATGATTTTATCGCGATGTATAGGTGCTAAGAGAAGTCTATTCTTTGTAATACTCAATTGAACATATATAAGAACACTTTTTTCAATTGCCAAATGGAGAAATATTTAAATTTTAAATCATCCCTGTCTTTTGGAGCCATATATTTTTTAGGGTCGTTTTAAACCTGACAACTTTGAATTGATTATATATAATGTTAATACTAATTAAACTGATGAAAATGCAGTTCAATAAAATTTTAAAAGAATGATATTATTTCTCCAATACTGATTGATTTTTCGAACAAAAATTCGAATTCAATTTGCTTTGCTTAATTAAGAAAATGGTACATTTCTCGTCCTTGATAAATTCAGTAAAATGATATACATTGATCCACCACTTTACAAACAAACATCGCCTACATTTCACGTGGAAAAAGTTGTCCTGTTATATAATTATTTGTATATTTAAAAGAAAACAACAACTTTTTTATTTTATTATGAAATCTTTTGATGCAAAATACATAGCAACCATGTACAGAAGCACACAAAATATCGTTGAACCAAACTTTCAAATGTTCATAAAAGATTCTCGTATTTATACCTTTCTTCATACTGGTCAAACCAAAACGAAATTTTCAGTTGGAAAACAGCTTATTGTTTTGCGTAATAAAAAAAACAACAGGAACTAAGTTTTACGTGACAAGGTATAATTTGCTAACTCAAAAGTAAACAAATAGTTTTGATCAAAGTCCTCCCAAAGGAACAATCAGTTTCCATACAATTCTTAGAATCTCTCTCAACAAACAAAATATTATATTGCATTTTCATCAATTTCTAGTATCAACGTTAAAGCAAACCAAACACAAACATCAAAAGACATGAAATTAATTGAAAAGTCACAAAGATTGAGTTTTAGTTAATTTTGGACGACATTCTTGTCAGGTTAAAAACAGACCTTTTTGAAGTATAAACTTACCTTTACATAATCGTTGAAAAGATCATGTTCAAGTGCCATGTAAACCTGTTTTCTTATATTATTATTTTGACTATTATAACATGCCATTACAAAGTGGAACTATTTGAAAATAAGGTTGAACTGAAGCAAAAGAAATACATACAATTATTAACCACAACCAGTCAATAAAAATTTAAAAAATATATCTTGTCATTTTAGTATCCAAACCGAAGTACAGTATTAATTGAATCTGATTTGAGAAAATATGAAATTCAAGCTTAAAAAACTTCATACTTAATTGCAGGTTAGATTATTTAAATAAAAATAGCATTTTAAAATCTAGAACTTTTTATTCAGATTACAAAATTTGGTACATATCTCGGTCATTGCTGATCTTATGTGATGAAACATATTTTTAGTTTCATCAAAATTTGTGTGTGGTTAATTCCATGCTTGAATTTTGATTCAAATCTGAATATCTGATCAAATTATGTGTTGATTAAAACCCACCACAAAGAACTGTTGATCTTATCTTCAGCCTCAATATTCCAATTATTGGATTATTGGATTGCTTTACTTAACAATTAATATATATTTTGTGTTCATTAATATATATTTTGTGTTCAATATATTATTAACACGAGACTTAGGAAAAGTTCATTCCTAAACATTTTGAATTAATATATACTTTTGAATGCAGATTGTTTTTCCTTCCCAATAATACAAAACATATTTGTACCTTCTATGTGCAAATCGTTTAAATGCAAATAATTAATGATAATTTTAGAATTTGTATTGTATAGTAGTAATTGATAGTCGATGTAAATTATGTAATTCAACGCTTGGTTGCAATGCAATTTTTATTAATAAATCTAAAACCTAAACCTAGAACATCATCCTGTAGTCTGGTTGTGGTTTTCCTTGCCATGCATGACGATACATTTTCTTTTATTTTCTCCATCTCACACCCACCCCCCCCAAAAAAAAATTAAGTGTAGTTTGCTGCTTCAGTTCATCCACATTCAAATAAGTTCCACTTTGTAAATAAGTAAATGCAATATGCTAGCCTATTTCGACCTTAACTGTTTGTTTTGAAGTAGGAAAATTTTTTTAAAAATCACAAAGTTTGTTCCAAAATTCAAATTTTTTGTTGATAACAACCGGTTGGCACAAGAATAAAAAACAACTGAAGAACACAACCCTCCTATAAGTCATACTGTATAGAACTGCCTTGTTCCTTAACAAATCCATTTTATTTGTGTCCAGGAATAATCAAACTCATGTATTAAGAGTGTGCTGGGATAAATAAGACAGGACTGTTAAACAACAAGGCAGTTCTAACAGTGCTAATTCTAAAAGTATTGTATACTTCAATTGATCACTAATTGCTTTTTCTAAGATTCAATATTTGAAGACTCAAATAACATGCAGAATCAACATTGAAAGAAACAATGTGATTTTCAGATAAACTTTCCAAACTTTCAACAAACACAGAAAGTCTACTTAAACAAGAGAAGATTGAGATGGAGTACAAATTACTGTTTTCACAATGCAGTTCGATATAAAGTTCAAAACACAAAGTATGATGAGACAAATGTGAATTAATCAATGTTCTTTTAATTCTTTACTGAAAACATTAACCAAAACATGAAAGATGACTCAAAAAAGTCACATGTCTTATTTGTAAGTAACTGTTTTGGTTTCTAATAAGAAAACAACTCAATCTTCTCAATGTTTAACTGATGTGACAAAGCCAAAGAATGACAAACTTTTCATTTTTTTTGACAAAAATGTAACTTGGAAATATGTAGAAACAACTATGTTCTGAGAAAAAACACAGACAAACACAAATTTATATGTTCTGTACTTTAATTAAGATAATAATATTTATGCCAAACAGAAAAATTGTATGGATATGTCCAAACCAAATCATCACTGTTAAACACAATTTTTCAAAACACAGACAGTTTGTCATTTTCTGGCTTGTTCATAAAATGTTTATAAGCTTTGAAAATTATAGACTTTCTGTGATCGGTGGCAACACCAAACTTAACCAAGTAATTGAGGGACCACAAAACTGAAATTTCCCAAATTAATACAAGTCA